AATGTTTGTGTCACTAGTGCTTTCAGCAAATCCAAGGTGTCTTGCTTATGTACAAATCACACAGGATTAACTAAAATATGGGCATTTTCTTCTCCACAGACAATAGTTTTGAGTTTACTTATGAGGTCAATTGGAAACAAAAACACCATCTTGCTGGGCTTGGGATTTCAAATATTGCAGCTAGCTTGGTATGGCTTTGGCTCAGAACCTTGGTAAGTAACTTCTCACTGTGTTGCTCTTTTAAATATTTTTACAAGTTGGGGTTCTTAATTTAGAAGACTTTAAAAAATATTGCATGGTATTACGTGCTTCATATATGCTTTCATGCAAGTCCATGGCTTTGCTGTAATTCAAAGTAAAAGAGATAGTATGTGCAATAGATAGAATTATAATGAGGAAAAGGCATTTGACATTAACTTTCTATCATCCTTTGCTGCTTCCTTGTAGGCTTTAAATGTTCTTCAGGCTACGTTGTTTCTGTAGTACTAGCATTGATAGGCCCTATATGCAAAAATATATAAAGCTGATGATTTTTTGCTCTGATAAAGGCTGACTAGCCCTTATGGATGAAATTGACTTAACATGCGGTTGAATTTGTCAGAGGTGATGCAAAGTGCTGCTCAACACTTTCACCTCTTATAATCATTTCCATTTATATACATTTTCAGGATGATGTGGGCAGCAGGGGCTGTTGCAGCCATGTCTAGCATCACATTTCCAGCTGTTAGTGCCCTTGTTTCACGGACTGCTGATGCTGATCAACAGGGTAGGTGCTTCAAAATATTAGTGGGGAAATTCTCGTCTCCTTACTGCTGGAGATTTTGCTATACTGGGAATTAGCAGGACTCCCTACCTTAATAGTGGTAGCATATTGCTTCTGTTGAAATTCAGAGACAACAGGACACCAAGTTTTGCCAGAAATCTTGACTTTTATGGAGATGGTTTCCAGAGAAGACAGGCCAATACCTGTTGAGCATAAGTATCTTCTTATCATGATCTCCAGTATAGAAAAGCTTTTGCTTGTACTGACCACTTTGAATGCTGATTATTGTCTAGGTGTCGTTCAAGGAATGATAACAGGAATTAGAGGACTCTGTAATGGCTTGGGACCTGCACTTTATGGTTTCATATTCTACATTTTCCATGTAGAATTGAATGAACTTTCCCAGAATGATCTGGGAAATACTGTAGCCACACAGCACCATTCACAGCAACAGGTATTGTCTCTAGGTTTTTTTTTCTTTGCATGTGCTTTTTAAAATATACATGTAAACTTTGGTGTAGACTCTACAATCTAAGAGGTAGCATGCCACAACTGGCTATTTTCATGTGGTTTCTGTTTCATGTAGCCTGTGGGGATGGACTTGTACACAAATTGTGTGTGGGGGGTGCACAGTACTGTACAATTCTGCAAAGTTGGAGACCTCACTCGCTTCTAGATGTTGGCTTTGCTCATTGTCAGCTTGCAGCCCCTCATGGCAGCACTTCCCTGCTGAGTATATAGCATGGATTTGTGCACATGGGCTCTTTCCTGGGCCTGGTTCACACTAAACATGTTTTGTGCAGAAAGGGGGTGACTACGTGCAGTAATCAAAAGGCTCACTTTTGTGCCTCACTGAAAATAGGACCTTGCATGCTTCTTTGAACTGGCTCAGTTCGTGGAAATTTCTTTCTATCCTTCGACTTGTTATACGAAACAAAGGCAAGGAAATAATTTGTGTTTACCACTCAACTTAAGTTCCTCTTCTTGCAGTAATTCAAATCATTCAAAATACTTCCTTCTGTAAATTTCAGCTTTGACTAAGTTAGCTCAAATGGTTTATCTGTTGACTCATAACACTTTAACACTTTCAGAGTACATTTTGCCATTTTGATTAAAAAGGGCACCACTGATCTCCCAATAAATGAAAAGTCATTTTCTTTTGTTTAGTGCTTTGTACAATTAACTGTTGAATAACTGTTGACAGTTAAAAATGACAATGAACCACAAGTGAATGAGCACTTTTACACCATGGTGAAAACCATATGCTCTTTAGAACTGATTTCCAGAGGGAAAATGCCTATGTCACTCAGGAATTGCATACAGGATTAAGGTCAGTTTTTGCCAGCAAGATTCAGTGCTTGCTAGGCTAATATATTTTACTGGCAAAAGCCACAGCACCATTGTCTGCTAACACTTTGTTCTCGACTCTACCCAGATACGCAAAATAATGCATGAAGTCTACATTTCTAATATTGCTCAACAGGTACTATTGCTCACTTGCCTGTGTGACATTTTGTAAGATCTGGAGTGTCTCTGCAATTTGAAGTCCAGTTTGGCATACAGCCAAGGGGGAATTTAACAAGTTAATGTTGCAACTTACTGGCTCAAAGTTCAGTGTCCTTTAATCTCTATGGCACACAGGGGTGGGAGGGGGATCTGTATTTCTTGGTTTGATCAAGCACAATGCCAGATTTTTGTGTAGTCTACTGAATTGAGGCATGAAATAATCTAAACATCATTTAAACAACTAAAATGTTCTTGATTTTTTGGTCTTAAATTTATTCTGTTTTTTCTTTCAGAACTCCATAATTCCAGGTCCCCCATTCTTATTTGGAGCATGCTCTGTATTACTGGCTCTGCTTGTTGCCTTGTTTATTCCTGAACACACCAATTTAAATGTTCGCTCAAGCAACTGGAAAAAACATTGTGGTGGCCATGGCCATCCACACAGTCCACAGGCCCCTGGGGAGGCCAAAGAACCTTTATTACAAGACACAAATGTATGACAAGAAAACTCAAGGACTCTTGGAGCAAGTTTCTTTTTATTATTTTTCACCTGCAGTTCTGGATGCACATTCCATTTCCATTGAAAATGTCATTTCTTAAGGTGGTCTTAAGAAATTTATCTTTTTGCATGAAAAGTGTAAGACCCACAAAAAGGAAGTGGAAAATTCTCCAAAGAAGTTACAACTTAAATTATTTGTTTCTTAATCCTAATTAGGATTTTTGCCATAAAGTCCTAATGGTAAATTAAAACATTACATATAAATTTTGAAACAAAACTATATTTCAGGCATGTGTTCCTGCATCAGTTTCCTGAAGGTGTTAAGCTTTATTCTCTTCATGCTGGTCTCAATGAGACATACTAGCAGGATTTGGGTACCCATTTATTTTATCTGTAAATTCTTGGGTCAGATAATTCAAAGCCTTAACGTAGATGCACTTGACCAAGAAGGTGAATTTGGTTGACCTTGGACTTTCAAATCAGTGTCTGGCAGGCTTTCTTTTTTTACTAACACAATCATGTGTTGAACACACATCCTGGACAGTACACACTCCTTTAAGTGCATTATTCTGCTAATTCTTCATTCTTTGAATTAAGTATTGTATCCATATGTAGTACTTAAATTAGCGGGTAGTGAGAGCCTAGATTTTATTACTGGCTCCAAAGGTCTACCTTCCTAAACCCAATTTGATACCACTATGCTTTGGATGTTTTGCATAAGGACCTCAAAACTTGAATACACCAACACAACTCTAAGCTGATAGCCTTGAAGATGTCAATGTGCTCTATTCTGGATTGCCACTTGTCTTATTCGACAGAATTGGAGCTAAGGACAATGGTGGTTGGTCTGATCTTACACATTTATTGGTGAATAAAATCTGTAGGGTGAGATGAATGGTAAGTACCTTGTCTAATAATTGAAGGGGCAATCCGCACTCTATAGTGGCCTTTCAAGACTGTCACATGTAACACTTCAGAGCCACGGGTCAGTCCTGCTGCTTCAGGACCACAGTGCAGAAGAGAGCTTTATACAATTACTGGTGTGAATTTCTCTAAAAGTGTATATTTTTGTGTCCAGTTGTATTATTTAAGTGTTCCTTTGTATAAAATGTGTATAAAGTATTGTATAATTCAAAATGTTTTCATCTTGTGCTGTGGTTATTGCTTAAGCTTTTTTAACTTTCACCACGGTTGACTAAAAGCTGGAAAATATGTAAATATACTGTTAATAAAGTTGAATATTTTAGTGATTTTTTAAAAAAAGCATTCTTTGAAACACAATTTCTAATAAGCTTTTAGCTACATTGTAACTGTTGTACCTGTGCATATTTTTTTACTGGTGGTAAGACCAAGCTGTATCTGTCTTAACCTGTTCTTAGTTGACTGTATCAATTTTCTTTAGTTGCATATTGCCTTCCTTTAGTTGAGGGAGCCAAAACTCTTTAGGCCTAACTTGAGGATGGTTAGTTTATAATTGTTGATGTAGTAGTGATATGCCTAGATGTTGATGTTATGTATAACATAGAAAGAGATACAGTTTTTCAGTAATGGGAAGAGTTTGGGCAGGTGCAGATTTTTTTTTTTTCACCTTTGTTTCCTTGAAGTGGCAGGTCACACATGCAGAAAGTTTGCCTTAACTGTTACCTAATTCAGGAATTTGTGTAGCATAGCTATACATTTTATATTTAATTTTTACAGTTCTGTAGAATTAACTATAGCTATATTATAGTTATAACTGATTAAACTGTATATCTAAGTTTACATAGTTCTTCTGACAACTAAAGTGTAGGGTGCTGCTCTTATATTAAGTGCTTAGCTTAACCTTTCTTCTCTCATGTTCTTTATGTATAGGCATTATGAAAAGCTTTATAGATGTTAAGAGACAAAACCTAAAAGAAAGTCAACACTAATAGAAGCAGGCAAGGTATGAGAGCCTAGACTGTTAATCTTGCTATTTTTTTTCTTTCCAGGACAACATAAACACTACCAGGACACTCTATTCTCACCTTGAAAACTACCTGCGCTTCTTGCTACCTGTACTGTAGTATTTCTGTTCCAGAACACAAATCTGAAGAACCGAGTACTACAAGTATGGGCTCTGACTAGTTGTGGGACAATTACTACAGTTGTGCTCTTTGATCTATTCTACGTAGTATTAGGCAAACACGCACTTGGAAAGTTTGGTTTTTATGTGAATTCAGTTTTTATTTTAAAATTTACTGAAAAGGGTATTTAGATACATAAAAACACTGCATTCTGATTATAGACAAATGTACAAATTTTACACTGCAAATAATGATTCAGCTATACACATTCAAATGATTTCATTGTATTTACACACTTTCAATAATATACAGGATCACCAGTTTTCAGTCATATGTCAAACAGCAAGCCACTCATACTGCAAAGAAGCTTTTAATCTACGAACCCACTGACTGGCTTTAAAATATTTGAATCCAACTGCTAAAGAAATTTCATTAAGGTATTTACATCTGTTCTATGTGGAATAAACTTGCGTGTACAATTAAGCATTGCTTAAAGGAACAGGATTTCTGTAAAGACTCAGCTTTTCTCAGCCACTAACAAATATTTTGAATCTCCACTGATTTCAATGGGAGAGTTAAGACGTATTTTAATCATTCCCATTGATTTGAATAGAAATTCAAGCACTTAAAACTAGCTGATTGATAGTATGAAGCCACATTTTCTCCTATCCTTTGCACCTAGAAAACAGCTAGGTCCTATAGAGGAGAGCATTGCCAGGAACTGCTTTAACACCGCTTCCTCCAGTACAAACAATTCTCTGGCATACAAGTCTGAATCCCAGTCACTGTACAGAAGCTGTTCCTCATGTAGTACGCACCTGTTTTACATATTATATAGTGGCTTGAATGAAATCCAAACAGTTCCAAATTAGCATGCAAATAATTCTACCACTTTATGAAAGCAGCCATTCTACAGTGGAAGATAGGATATCTGAATAGAAGTGAAAGTTACATTCTATGTTTTGATTTAAAAATAGGATGTCAAACATATTCCAGCATTGTACCACATAGCAGTTTTCCAGCCATAACAAATTTCATTTTCAATAGAATTTCAAAATTGCATGTTTAAATGTACTGTAAAAGCTGAGCTAGATTCACTTAATGTGTTAGGAAAACCTGGCTAGTAATAGTCTTAAGCCTTAATGCAGCAGAATCAGCCATTCTTGCTTACTGGTACCAGATTAATATAACCATCACTGGAACTCTCAAAGCATTTGTAGGCTTAACACCACAATCTTGATGCATATTATCTAACAGTTCCATGGAAACTAGTGGAATTTGCTATAGATATTAGGCTTCAAAGAGGAGCTCTAAGCTTTCTAAGATTCTTTGGTTCTGAGGTTTTTGTCCCAGAAGAAACACCTACACAAAAATACTCTGGGAGAGAAGCAGCAAGCATTTCTTGTGGGCCAGTTCAATTTGATCATGGATACTGCAAGTTAGTTCCATTGCATACAATATATTAGTGGATGGTGCTTCAAATAACCAATTTTAGTCAAGGTGTTTCAAGTTACTATTAGGACATTTCTATTATTCACATAAAACTAAGGTTTAGACTTTAAACAAGCCAGAGAAACATTAACTTTTCCCATTGGATGATACCTTCAAATACTACAGGTATTGTTTACCAATTTAACATAGATGCTTTTAAAGGGGAAATTATATTTTAAAAATCATAAAACTTCACAGATGCAGATAAATATTTTAGCTCCTATCCAGGAAAGTAAGCAGAGGTTCTGGAAGGTGCCACAGGTTTGGATGGTATTTGTGTGTTTTTCAGAGCAGACTTCTGATGCCCTGGTAAAGATAAGAAAGCACATTTTTACGATGTTTCACAATTTTGGAGCAAGTTCTTACAATTTAGTTAAATGCACACACACTTGCCTGTGTTGTGAGATGCATTTTGGCTGAGCCCTCGTAAAGGTATGCTGTCTTCCCTCTTTTTCAGATACTTTGCTTCCAACCCCAGGTTTTCACTACTATTTGGAAGAAAATGGAGTATTTTCAGTCTCCCTGATCAGACATGTTTCCGTATTCATTAAACTGAAATTTCACATTAATTCCTTTAGAACATTTCCAAGACCCTGAACATTGAACTCAAAAGCATGGACACTGTTTTTGTTTGTCCTATAATGCAGGCTTTAAGGTATTTTTATTCCACACTAGAATTCCACCTTTCACAGAAAATCAAAGTTGGTTCATGGTTGCCCTTCCTAACTTTTTTTCTTTTAATCTTTATGAAGAAAGGCTAGTTTTGGCTGTAAAACAGTGCCTTTAACCAGTCAAGATCATCCAAGTGAACTCCATGACTTGAGTGGATTTTGAATGAGAATGGGTCTTTTCAGTCTGGGTCTGATGGTAGAGCGTGTCCAAATTCCATACATGCAATCCAGCAGCAGATATTTGGTTCTAGTCAGTCCTCTAAGGAGCGGGGACTATGTCCATGAGCGCATGCTTTGCATGAATATGGTCCCATGTGCAATCCCTGACATTTCCAGCTAAAAAGACCTGATAAGAGCTTTTGGTTCGACTTTTGCTTTGATACTGTGGAGATCCACTGCTGATGTAGACTTGGGCTAGAAAGACAGACAGTCTGGCTCAGTGTAGCACATTTTCTCAGTTCAGGGAGGGTGGGAATTGGTGAACTTCTTAAAAGAGATGTCACGATTTGCAATAGTCCTACTTAGCAGGGCAGCTGGCCCAGCACCAGAGGGTAGTACCACACACAGCACTTGCTGACAGTCCAAGCCCTCTGGGGGGGCCCATCACACTGCTCCCCTGCCTTTGAAAGAGGCAAGTGCCAGCAGTAGGAGAAGAGTAGGTCTGGAAGTACAGCTGGTGCCTGTCATTTAAATCTCCCCCATTTTCTTGGAGGGTCTAATGGAGCATTACTCCAGGGCCAGTCTGGCTTTTTCTGTTCCTAGCTATTGGTACTGGTGTGCCTCAACAGAAAGGGAGGGTGCAAGAACTGTCCAGGAGGGTCTTGCTGAAACAATCATTTTAAGTAGCCTATTTCAGAATCACAATTTCACTTATAAAATACAGTAGATGAGTTAATTCTCCAACATTATTTTGGGCAAGGTCATCTATTGCCAATAATGTAAGCTGTATTTTAATTATAAAATTTTACATCAACTTCTCTGAAATAAAAAAATATGAACTCTACACTTCATTTATCCACTCAAGAAAATTATTTCGAGGAATATACTCGCACAGGTAATATCTACACATGTCCAAGTGGGTTTTTATACTTATTTTTTAAGACAGCAGGTTACAATGCCAGAGATAAGCCACTTCTAAACTGAAGGGACTTGGGACTTTTCACATGAAACTCTGGATCTAATCTTGGAAGCTAAGCAGGGTTGAAATCTGGATGGGTGACTTAATGGGCTGTGAACCACCCATAGAACTTCTGCTACATGGGGGCGGGGGGGGGGGGAGATGTATTATTTTTCATCCAGCAGCCATGATCTTAAAAACCCCGATGCACAGAAAATCTTGTGTTTTTACTCCTACCTTCCATCAACCAAAACAAAGACCGTTTGACACAAAAGGAGAATAAGGAGAGGGACACAATAGATTTATAAAATTATGCATGCTGGCATGATACATACATGGAAGAGAAGGTTACCAGTTTGTCCTACATGTGGCTATACACCCCTTCCAGAATCAGAGGCAGCATGGTTCAAATGCAGCTGCTAAAGAACAATAGCAGGAGAGGGCTATTACCCTCACATCCTTCTTGCAGGTTTCCCAGAGGCCTCTGGTTGGCCATACACAGAATACAATGTCTGACAAGTTCCTCCAAACAAGGCTGCTTGTTTGTTGGTAACAGTCATCTAAAGCACAACGGAAAGAACTCACTTTTCTTTATTTGTCGAATGACTCATCAACACAGGGATTCCTGGCTGTGTATCTGAACACCTGTTTGTTTCTGAAAGCTGCATATTGAACTGAACCTGCTGGCACAGTAAAAATATATATATCACAATTAAGGTTTCAGGTATTGCATATTAAGACCTTTGTCATACATTAAGAGAGATTGAGGGAAGAGTTATCCTAAAACAATGTCAAAGACATTGTAAACAGATTAATTTCAATTAAGTTTAAACTTTCCAGTTGTACTTTCTAAACAGAAGTGTACCTTAATTTGACTGACATTGCAGTATTTGGATTTACAAACTCTGGGTCCCTTCAAATGGGGGTTCTAACCTGGCCAAGTGCTGGGGATGTGCTTGACTGAAATGTCCCTCTCAAAACCAACCCATGACTCTGTCAAAAGCCCCTTTTTAAAGGAACCCGGACCACTGACAGCTGTCAAGACACCTTTTTGGAAGAAAAGGGTTGCCCTTTGTCAATCTCCTAGAGATTGGAGGAAAATTGCATTACCTGGGGAGGAAAACAGATCAGGCTCTTGTCAAGAAAAGGATGTAAACTGCAACACCCTCTTTTGTGAGCAAAGATCATTCATACCTTTCATTTCTCTTGAAATTTTTGACATAGATCAAAAAGAAACCAACAGGGGAAAAACAAGCTGGCCCTCTTCTGAGCAAAGTCCAAGGTTGGTACCTGCTGAACCTTGTCAAATAGCACCTCTGGACAATGTCCTAGCCAATGCTTCAAGGCCTTACAGTTAATTTCTTTTTAACACAGCACTGATATTTACACTTTTTTTTTGACAAAAATGGAAAAAAACATGGTTCTGCTAGCCCTTCAAGGTGTCATTTGGGTACTTTGAAAAGGATTATTGGTACCTGCCAAAATGGGGTTTGGGAAAGCTATTGCAGTCTCCAACAAATGAAAAAGTAAATGTGGCAAACCAAAAATGATTCCCAATTGTGGCAATGTAGACCACTCAAGTCCTCTGATGGTGTTTCCTAGGACACCTGCAAGATGAGTAGTGGGGGTAGAAGGCCAACAAACTGTGGGAAATCAGGCTCATCATGGGCAGTTCATATGATAACAAGAATTTAATATCAAGATGAGCTGGTGTGATGTGTAAACAGTCACACAATTGGGTTTGCAGGACAAGGCAACCCATTGTGGGTTCAACGGCCCTAGAATATGTGGCTCAACAGAACTGAAAAAGATCTCAAAATAATTGAGGACAATAGTCTAAACATGAGCCAACAATGTGATGCAGCTGCCCAAAGGGTAAATGCTGTTTTGGGATGCATTAACAGAAGTATTACTTCCAAATCACGAGAAGTAGTAGTTTCTCTATACTCCTCACTAGTCAGACATCACCTGGAATACTGTGTCCAGTTCTGGGCTCTAAGATTTAAGAAAGATGCAAGAATAATCAAGTAGCAACAACCCAGATTCAGGCTGGACATCAGGAAAAGCTTCCTCGCTGTCAGAGTAATAAGACAGACATTCAAAAAAGAAACTGGACCCCATCTGAGTGGGATGGTGTCCTGCACCAGCCAGGGTTGGACTCGATGGCCTTCATGGCCCCTTCCAACTCTACTAATCTATGATTTTTATGACAATGAGATGCAGGTTGGCAAGGTGCTTCTTTTCCACAAATGGCACCCTACAAGGATGCTGTTGGGGTGTTTGAAACACCCCAATGTACAATGCCTTAGCAACCCACAATGTGTTGCCATATCATGCAAATTCAGTTAATATGCATCTTATTAGTAGGGTGGCTCAGCATGTCCTGTGAATACAACTGATACGAAGGAGATTATAACATATATTTAAGGTGCCCACCTTTGTTCCTGAAGCTTGCTGGTTGCTGCTTTTGATAGCTGCTGCATCTGGGTAGTTTTGAAAAGCTAGCAAGGGAGAGAAAGGATAGCCTAGCCCAGAGCTAAAGAAAGGGATCCTACTATCCACCTGTCAAAGAGAATGAAACATTTAAAGCCAAAGCAACAACACAAAGTGAATTCCCAAAGTGAATTCCTGGTTTTGTTTTTAAAGCAAGCACCACCTCCCCCGTTTTTGTTGCGATGTGCCATCAAGTAATCCCTTAGGGAGACTCTCTGAATGAATGCTCTCCAAAATGAGGGTCCTGAGAGTCCCACTCAGCTCTTGTAAACTCAAGGGTATGACTTCCTTTATAGATTTGATCCATCTCATAGCTAGCCCTCCTCTTTTTATTCTGCCTTGAACTTTCCCTAGCATGATTGTCTTCTCCAATCAGTCTTGCCTTCTCTTGATGTGCCCAAAGTACAACAGCCACAGTTTCATCATTTCTGCTTCCAGGGCAAGTTCTGGCTTGCTAGGATCTTGGATCCATTTGTCCGTGTTTCTGTCAGTCCCGGGTATTCGCAAAACTGTCCTCCAGTACAAATGCATCAATGTTGTTCTTGTCAGTTTTTTTCACTTCTTCAACAGCTGCACTATTTCCCATTCATACGTTCCTCACAAATAGCAGAGAACCATATTCTGGGTAGGCTCCAGTTTATAGGGAAGCCATCTTCCTCCTTTTGAATGAAACTGGTATTGGGATTATCAAGACAGGACTGGAATTTTCTTGGTGTACCAACCATCCTGCTGCCTAATGGTCTCCCTGTCATAACTGATGGTGGTCTTGAGGACTCCAAGGCTGGTAGCCCTTGGGGCCCTACTATTTATGGTCAGGATACCTTGACAGAATTTTGTGGCTTCCATATTAACTATGGACCTGTTTCAGGTAATTTCTGGCCGAATGCCTGCAGAAGGACATACAGTATATCACAGAAGTGAGTACACCCCTCACATTTTGTAAATATTTTATCTTTTCATGTGACAACCCTGAAGAAATGACACTTTGCTACAATGTAAAGTAGTGCGTATACAGCTTGTATAACAGTGCAAATTTGCTGTCCCCTCAAAATAACTCCACATACAGCCATCAATGTCTAAACCACTGGCAACAAAAGTGAGTACACCCCTAAGTGAAACTGTCCAAATTGGGCATTATTAGCCATTTTCCCTCCCCGATGTCATGTGACTCGTCAGTGTTACAAGGTCTCAGGTGTGAATGGGGAGCAGGTGTGTTAAATTTGATGTTATCACTCTCACTCTCTCATACTGGTCACTGGAAGTTCAACATGGCACCTCATGGCAAAGAAGTCTCTGAGGATCTGAAAAAAAGAATTGTTGCTCTACATAAAGATGGCCCAGGCTGTAAGAAGATTGTTAAGACCCTGAAACTGAGCTGCAACACGATGGCCAAGACCATACAGCAGTTTAACAGGACAGGTTCCACTCAGAACAGGCCTCGCCATGGTCGACCAAAGAAGCTGAGTGCACGTGCTCAGCGTCATATCCAGAGGTTGGCTTTGGGAAATAGATGTATGTGTGCTGCCAGCATCGCTGCAGAGGTTGAAAGGGTGGTGGGTCAGCCTGTCAGTGCTCAGACCATATGCCGCACACTGCATCAAATTGGTCTGCAGGGCTGTTGTCCCAGAAGGAAGCCTCTTCTAAAGATGATGCATAAGAAAGCCCGCAAACAGTTTGCTGAAGACAAGCAGACTAAGGACATGGATTAGTGGAACCATGTCCTGTGGTCTGATGAGACCAAGATAAACTTATTTGGTTCAGATGGTGTCAAGCATATGTGGCGACAACCAGGTGAGGAGTTCAAAGACAAGTGTGTCTTGCCTACAGTCAAGCATGGTGGTGGGAGTGTCATGGTCTTGGGCTGCATGAGTGCTGCCGGCACTGGGGAGCTACAGTTCATTGAGGGAACCATGAATGCCAACATGTACTGTGACATACTGAAGCAGAGCATGATCCCCTCCCTTCGCAGACTGGGCCGCAGGGCAGTATTCCAACATCATAACGACCCCAAACACACCTCCAAGACAACCACTGCCTTGCTAAAGAAGCTGAGGGTAAAGGTGATGGACTGGCCAAGCATGTCTCCAGACCTAAACTCTATCGAGCATCTGTGGGGCATCCTGAAATGGAAGGTGGAGGAGCGCAAGGTCTCTAACATCCACCAGCTCCATGATGTCATCATGGAGGAGTGGAAGAGGACTCCAGTGGCAACCTGTGAAGCTCTGGTGAACTCCATGCCCAAGAGGGTTAGGGCAGTGCTGGAAAATAATGGTGGCCACACAAAATATTGACACTTTGGGCCCAATTTGGACAGTTTTACTTAGGGGTGTACTCACTTTTGTTGCCAGCGGTTTAGACATTAATGGCTGTGTGGAGTTATTTTGAGGGGACAGCAAATTTACACTGTTATACAAGCTGTATACTCACTACATTGTAGCAAAGTGTCATTTCTTCAGGGTTGTCACATGAAAAGATACAATAAAATATTTACAAAATGTGAGGGGTGTACTCACTTTTGCGATATACTGTACATGGGCAAGAGGCTGGTAATGACTCTTCTGACACCAACAGATTACATGCTACCTACTCTGCTTGCATCTTCAAACTGCCTGTAATTTTGCAGGGGTGGTGAACTTAATCTGATGGTCCATCCCAGCAGGCTGATGAATCTGGATGGATTTGTACCTAAAGAGTTTGTGAAAACTAAGCACACCTGATCTATGCTGACTTGCACAGCAATCTCACTAAGATTTATACAGTACCTTGTTGTGATTCCAAGGCTGCAATCCCATGAGGGAAAAACTTGCCACATGGGACTACAGCCTTGAAATCACAGCAGGTCACTATCACAGATATAAACACTTAAGAATAATATTGCTATTACCACACTGTGAGGTGAACTCCCCGTTCTTGAAGCAGTGTTACTCGGAGAAGTAGATGCAGCTAAGACGTCTTGCTTTTTTGTCATCTGAATTTCATTCAGTTGTTTATTCAGCCATGTGATAACTACAAAGAAAATATCCATCAGCATTTTGCTTTTCAGTTAGGCTTTCCCCCCCTGCTTTAATCTAACCCACAGTTAAGGTCAGTCTACTGCTAATGAAGCATCTGTAGAAAATCCAAAGCACAATTCTATGAATTTCAGCTTAGCAGGTCCACTAAGTTCAACGAGGCTAATTCCCAGGTAACTCGGTGTAACAGCCTCAGTTTTCTATTAAGACATGAGCAAGAACTCCAGCTCATAGAGTACCCTGGAATTTCTCCAGGAAGAAGGGCTGCATATTACAATTTGAGATTAGCTTAATGAAACGCTCACTAATTACTGCACAACTCAAGTAGAGAAAATGCCTGCCAAACAAAGATAAGTGTCTGGAATCAGTTCTGTTAGATGGATTCTCAGAATGTGATGGGTTGCAAAAAGAAAAAGAATCACACACACCATTTTCATTAGTTTTGAGAAGATGTTTGCTTTCTTCTAGCTTCTGCACTGTAGTTTCTAATTGTTCTCGCAATTTGCACACCTGAAATATTTTCACATTAGTATTAGTTCATGTTCTAGTTTTGTCAGCAACTTTAAAACTTTACATTTCTTGAAAAACAAAATGATGTAACAATCTAGAGTTAATGATGGAATTGGTCACTAAAGCCAAATACAACTATCTTGAATACAGAATATCCTATTCTGTATAAGAAAATCAAACTATAGCACTCTAGACGATGTTTCATATAAAATGTTTCACGACAGAGATCTAGCACTTACTGCAGAAAATCCAGACGCTTACCTCTTGTTCTTTTTCTCGAAGTGAACATTCAGCATCTTGAAGTTCCTTTTGCTCTTTCTGCAGTTTTTCTTCTTTTTCAGCCAAGAGTTTTTCTTGCTGAATTGTTACTGTATTTTTCAGTTTCAATTTACTCATTAGAGTTTTTATATCGCCTTGCAATTTTTTAATTATTTCATTAGCCTGGTAAACACAGAATCTAAATTAAGACCACATGAAGTCAAACCTTTATCATCATAAAAGACAATTACATGCTTGAACAAACCTTAAGAAGTTCAGCTGATAATGACTTCAATGTTGCTTCTAGCTTTTCTATCTGAATTTGTTTCTTTTCTGTATTTTTTTCCAGGTTTGCCTTTTAAAAGAAAAAAGAGTATATTTTCATGATTTTAAAAGGGTATATATGTCATATTAGGAAATGTTGTTTTGCCAAGAAATATTCAACACTTGCATCATGCATGGATTGGTTTTAAAATGTAATTAGTAGTTTTTAAAGCTACTAGTCATAAGCAACATAGTTAGCAAAATTAATCTTACAGGGCCCAGGCTGTACAAAGTCAGTGAGGATGGGTGGCTGGAGTAGCTCACAACTCCCCTGATGAACCCTAGAATATGCCATCATTTCAGGGTGGTATTTGGAGCACTCCTCACTGGGTTGATATCATGACAACTTGGGCCTGGCAATCATAATTACGCTAATTAGGCAGCTCATGACTGGTATAGGTAGACAGGGAAAATAAGCCAGAGTGACTTGCTACCCTCAGTGGCTTTAACCCTGTATGCCTGTATTTTCTAAGCTTGGTCATAATCCAGAGAACTAGCCTTGTATGTCTGGCAGAGTTTAGAGCTGTGCTTTCTCAAACAAGAATGCCACATGGTTATGTAAAATACTATGCAAACTTAAAAGGATTTTTTTATGAAAGAGTGTGATACAACACAAAAGTTCTGCTCTTCAAATAATAAACCACAAAGGGTTTGTGATTATTGTCACTCTCTGGATTGTAGTCCATGCTCTTTGATTTCTCTGTATAATTCTTCATTTATTAAACACAAGTGCTATTGAAAGAAATACCTTTTGCTCTTGTGTGGCATCCAGTACTTCTTTTGTTCTAACAACTAGTTCGTTCTTGTCCTTGAGTTCCTGGTCTAAAACAGCAACCCGTGTCTGCAGCTGATTAACTTGTTTCTCCTTTTCATGGCATTCAGCATCTAAGGTAGTATTCTCTTGACGCAGTGAAATAATTTCTTGCTTTGCTCTCTGGCATTCCTATGATTGAAAGAACATTTTAAAATTCATTTTAAACAAGAAAAATATTGCTTAACATTTTTGCTGGGTTTGAAAAAAAATATTTCATGCATTCAACTGCTTAGAATTCTTAAGCTACAATACTGAATTTGCTCATATTATACATGTCTAGAAACTAAATGTGGAATAATATGTGTCCCAGTATAGATTGTAATAGGTTACTACGACATACATCTTCAGTGCTAGACAATTTTGATTTAAGTTCTTTGACTGTAGAATCGCCTTTGTATCTCTTTTCCATTAGGTCCTTGTTGGCAGCTTCTAATTCCTTCAGTCTATTCTGCAGCTGTTGAACAGTTTTCTGGTGCAAGTTTTCCAGATCCCTGTTCTGCTGTTCATACTGTTTTTGGTATTGTGCTTGTGCCTGCAAAATAATTAAATAATTAACAACTACAGGATGTATAAAGAGTCTACTTCTTTTATATACCCTTCTCTTTACACACCTGCAGAGTTTTCTCCTTCTCATTTGTCAGTTCTTGAGTATGTTTGTTGGTTAGAGCTGCTATTTTAGATGTCCATTCATTTCTTAACTTGTCCAGTTCTCTGCTCTTTTCTGACAAGCTCTAAGTATGAGAGAGAAAAAACTTAAGATAGTTGGATGTAATCAAAAACTTAATATTATTATACCAATGTTTTATTCATAGTCAACACTTAATTTCTTCATTATTTGTACTGCAAACACACCCCAGTAAACCAGTTCCCAAATATTTACCTGCCTCCTAGAAAAATAATAGTGGCTCTTTCTTTTCCTCTAAATTCTTACTAAGACACACTGATTTCTTTTCAAAAACGGAAGAGTCTTACAGCAACTTAAACACCAACAATTTGTGATTAATTGAATAGGCTTTTGCCTACCTAATTTTATGCCACAATAAATCTGTTATGCTTCAAGGAGGCATGGGGCTCTGTTGATGTGTGTTTAACAGTCTATGGTAGCTATTCTTATATATTTCCCCCTACTTGTCTCTAAGTAATCAGTAGTAGGTCTTCTCAGGCTTCTATGTTCAGACACACATTTTATAGAAAATATTCATTAAAGGTACAATCCTACAGAGGCTTAGACAGAAAAGCATCTAGCATTTTGCAGCCGGCATGGCCAGCTGGGAAATGCTGAGAGTTGTAGAAATTTTTTTGTCTGTTGTAGAAATATGCATAGGATTGCACCTTAAAACAGAAAGATGTTTGCAGTAGTTTTCTATAAATTGATTCACACTGAAATTTTGCTATTACCTGTTGGGCATAACTCAGCTGTCTTGTAAGGTTGTCTTCTGTTTTCTTAAGTTTTTGTTCCAGCAGCAACTTTTCTTCCTATGAGCAATTGACAGTTCCTCAGTCAGTATTACTTTTTCTCTTTTTGAAAGTGATAAAGGCTGCAATCTTAAACATTCTTATTAAGTAGTATACTGACACTGACACAGGGGGAATTAATTCTGGATCATTATGCACAGGATCGCACTGAATAAAAGTGCACTTTTATTCAGCACATTTCTCACAAACACATACCTGTACAAAAACTGAGCTCGGGTGGACAAATGGCCAAAGTTGGTCATTCTGTGAATAACTGAAATTGTATTGCAGAGTGTATCACTGGAACCCTCATTTTACCTTAACACATGTAAGACAGGTTGCCAAGAACTTCTTGATTTCTGCATCATTTCCTGGTAAAAATTTTAGTGATAAGTGGGTAAGATGTTTAAATGGGTTTGTTTCAACCACATTTAACAAAGATGGTGTGTAATCTAAATTAGATCCTGATGAAACCAGCTGTAGCAAAAACCTAAAAGAAAAGGAGAAAAACAGATCAGATATGACAACAGGCCTGGTAGATAAACTTCTCAACCTATGGAGCACACATCTCCATGGAAGTGCAAACCAGGACAATTGGAAATTGCACCCTCAGTCTGCACCCATCCAATGTGTATGCCAATTCACCAAACATTACAGAGGCTACTTACTCTGCTGACTAATGGAGCGCTGGATAAGTAAACTTTTTAAAGTAGCCTACAAACTTTATTTATCATGTTTATATCCCACCTATTTTCCTTTCAAGGAACTCAAGGCAACTTACAGAATTCTCTTCTTCCTCTTCTCAATTTTATCCTCACAACCACAATCCTGTGAGGTAGGTAGGCTTGAGAGTCTGTGACTGGCTCAAAGTCACCCAGTTAGCTCCAGGGTTGAATGCGGACTAGAACCCAGATCTCCTGAGCGCCAGTTCCATATTCTTAACCACTACACTACACGGACTTGTATCAAGTGTAGTGGTTAATTCTTTGCACCGATTCTTTTGTGCACATCCTCCAAAGGAGGAAAAGCACTGCAATCTCACAACAGAAGGCTTGCATCCTCCATGTCAAGGGTGCTAAACAAGGTGGGCAGATATTTTTGGCTTATGATTTTCATGACTGCTCATCATTGGCTATTCGGAGTATGACTGATTAGAGTTGTAGGCCAAAAACATTTGGAGAGCCATGAGTAAACAATCTCTGGTGTAAAGCCAACAAGCACTTCTAGAGAGAAGTCAAAGCAAAATGGAGAGCATCACAATTTTAGCATCATTATTTTTATTTCAATTTCATTTCTTGCTGTACCTGGTATTTCAAATAAAATAGTGAGATAAGTTAAGTGCTTTACACAAAATATGTATGCTCTGCCTTGGATACTATTGTTACTTCTTACATTCCTAGCCTTTTTTATTGCTTATGTACCTACTAACCTTGGGATATCTTTATTTTGTTCTTGGATACAGTGCTGAAGAAGATCTATAAATCTCTGAGGAAAAGCAGAAAAATCTACCAGAAGACTCTGCTGGAGTTTTAAACTATATAAAATGGAAAAATGGAAGAAAAGTATAAATATGTGTACTTACAGGAAATACATTAAGAGTACCACATTTTCTAGTCATTTTTGAAGCACAGAAGTACTAATGTGGCTAAATCTGAAAAAACTGTATAGCAGAATGGTTACCATCTTTTAAAATGCCACTGAAATGCCACTGAAATTAATTTAATACTAATGATACATATCCCCTAACCTACCATCAAACTTACTGTCGTGTACAATGGGGGCCTGAAAAACAGGAGATCTGAGGGGGAGGCATGGTGCTGAGGCAGGTGGAATCTTTCTTCCAGTATCACCCCATGGTATCAGTTGATAACCCTTGTTATGATCCATGCTGCATTGCCACAACATCCCAGCCTGGACTGGTAAGAGCTACTGCTTTGTTTTAATAATTCTTTGTGTGTGGGTATAGGAGTACATGGGAATGTTCTTTTTCTATCTCAATGTTTTTGATTGGCTTTTTAAATGTAGCCATGTTCTGCATGTACAGGACTAGGAGCAAATTATTTCTGCATATTTACTTGTGGAACAATGTAGGGAGTAAATGAAGCTAGAACAGCTTTAAAACAATTCCAAATTATACTTATCCACAACTCCCATCAGCCCTAGCCAATAAAGCCATGGTGGAGGATGATGGGAGCTGTAGGCGAACAGTAGGTGGACAGCCACATATTCCTCATCTCTGGATTAGAAGGACTGAGCTCAAAAAACCAAGTGACCAAGTCATTTAATCGGGCTCATTTACATTCACTATATTTTCAGACCAGGACCATTTACGTCCGGATCAAGTAAAAAACTTCTGCAAAGTACAGAAATCATACATAAAGCAGCATTTTGAATATGTTTATATTTTTGTTCAATTTATTCTACATCTGATCATCAAGGGAGAAAAAATGTATAGAACTCTGAAACCCACTCCTAACTATTTGAAATCCCCAATACCCAATCTTACTGATTCCAGAAATACTACAAATTTAGAGATGTATAGAATGATACTGCAGTATCACTGGGGCCCCACAGTCTTGAAATATTATTAACTAACCTTGGAGTTCATCATTCATATAAAAGAGTATACCAACTAAAATGTACAAATGTAAAATGTATACACCACCCATTGTTGTAAACCACCCACAGTAGAAAAGAAATTAATAATAATAACAAATTTACATCTAAAAATTACTACGCCTTAAACACTAAAGAAAAACAATTAAAATGCAAAAGAATCAGAATACTTTGTCATACCAATAAAATTTAATATTGTGGCTGATTATAATTATCATCACTACCTACAACAGCCAATAGCCAAATCTCTTTTTTTCAGTTTAAAACACTTTATACAAACACAGACCAGAGAAACAATAAAGATTAGCATAGCTTTTTTTCTGGTTGTTTAAATAAAAATGTTTTTAGCAGACATGGAAAACAAAACAGTTTGGCACCTGCCTGAAATCCACTGGTCAAGAAGTAAGACTTCAGATAACCTTTATTCTGTACATAAATTAAACTAGCTAACCCTTGTTTTGACTTGATCATTAATACTTTTTGAGATATACACAGGTTACTAAAAGTTAGCCATCATCTGATAAAAACTTTAGAAGTTGAGATTTAACTAAATCTTCCTAATTAGAACATTAACTTCAAAACTTGCCTCTGAAAATCTTCCTCAGAAATAACAAGATTATATAGGAAAAAGGGATCAGAATCCTCTGTTAGTCGAACAACTAAATCCTAAAAGCAAAAAGTTGGAAGAATTATGTAGTTGGTTAAAGCAATATATTTCTGTAGTGATACATTCAGTAACAGTCTGCTCAAATTACATACAAGTGGTAAAAGTTTCTATGCAGCCAGAGAGCAATGCTCAGTCTTAATGATCCAAATGAAACTGTATCACAAAGCTCATCAAAAGCAACCTTTAAGGCAGGGATATGAAATTCAGGCCACCAACCTCTCCCCCAAAACACTCACTTTCCTGAGCCTCTCAGCAACCCTCCATTCCCCACTTCTCAATTGAACAACACTGGGGAGTAGGCTGGAAGATAATGAAAGAACTGAGATTTATACCGCTTTCCTGTCTGTCTCCTCTTGTGATTCTTAACTGATCCATGGGAAGTGACTGAACAGTAGTGAAGTTGGGGTGTGTCTGCAGAGTCTTTGCTGCTGATGGACAGAGACCACTTTCTTCCTTCAGCAGAAGCTTACTCTGTTTCCATGCTGTGTGCTGAGAAAGGGAACTTCAGTTCTCTCAGTACCCAAAATGCAAGAATGATCTTGATGAGGGAAGAGATCTTGCCAAGGGGGAGCAATATGCCTGGATGCATGGGTGTGCTGTATGGAGTGTGAATGGACATGTGTAATTTGGGTGTTCTTGCCCATGTTTGGCTTTGATCCTACCCACTTGCTGCCCCCCATCTACTCCACCTCTCCCCCTCCTCCCCAAAGTTAATGCAACCCTCAAAGTTTCCCCACCATGCCTTTAAGGCATTATCTATAGCCAGGTAATAGCACTGAGAAAAAAAGTGAGTTTTGATGAAAACAAAGCAATGATTGCTAAATGATTACTATTTTCTACATGGAAACACATAGTTGATGCTGTCTCATCAATAAGCCTACCTGGATCACAGGCAGAAGCAACCATCCATATAAATAACACTACGTTATAAATGAAGTACAAACCTTTCTATGAACAGGATTTGTTGTTGATTGTAGCTCAATACTCACACGAACATTTATACGTCTGCAAAACAGGCATGTAACTATTGTTTTCCCGGCATTATGTTGGAAGGTATACTACTTACACCCAAAATCAAAGTAAGTAAACTTGGATAAGATAGATGAATCTATACCCTCTATAATTTCTGTACCTCATCCATTTTAAACATTATTTTTAGTAATAATCACTATTCAAAGGAGGAGGAACCATAACTCAGTGGTAGAGCACATGTTTACATGGAGAAGGTCCCCGGTTCAAGTCACAGTTTCTCCAGATAGGGCTTGAAAAATTCCTGCCTGAAATCTTGGAGAGCAGATGCCAGGGACTGTCAACAGTAATGGGCTACATGAACTCAATATAAAAGGGAGCTTCCAATGTTCTTTTAAACAGAGGACTAATCCTAAAACCCAATCGAATTACAGACATTAAGAATGAACACTCAAAAAACAATGAACAATAATAGTGGACTTATTCTAATATGGGAATCCATATGTAGTCAAAAAAGCACCATCCACACACGTAAGAGGGAGAATTAGCAGGCTTGGGGAAATCCAAAGATTTTCAGAACAATAAAAAACCCAAAAGCAGTCCAATTGACTGTTGGTAGGACAAAAAACACCGGTGGAGCAGGTAATGAAATGGAATATTCTGAAAAGGGGTCTGGCTGACACTTGTAGCACGAACAGGAACCCCATTCTAACTTTATGTAGTCAGGGTTGTGCTGCCTCCCATGCATAGCATGCATATGCAAATCACTGCATATCTGAAAAAACAATCAACAAGTCCACAGAATCCATATGGCTCAGAAAAACTAGCCCAATTCACATTCCCAGAAATCCAAGCTTATTTGAATCCACTGCAAATATCTGCCACATGCCTAATTTGGAGTCAGTTTCACTGAAATCCATGATATTTGCTCCCAGGTTTCACAATATCTTGAGAACCATCTCCTACCATTTTGACTTTCTAGGTAAACATTAGAGTATCTGTTCCCCTAACAAAAGGTGAAAGGTAGACACAATGAAAATGTCCTTTTTGGTATGGAAGCAAGATTTTTGAACACTCTTAAAGAAAACTTGTCTTAATCCATGCTTACTTTGTTTCAGGAAACAGCCAATCCTATTTATGGAAATGTTTCAGTGCTGTACTACATCCTTTATATTTTTATTGTGTTTACTAACTTTTAAATTTTGTTAGCTGCCCTGATTATCTTTCATATTTTGTTGTTGTTGTTGTCAGTCGAGAAGTCGTGTCTGACCCATCGCGACCCCATGGACAACATTCCTCCAGGCCTTCCTGTCCTCCACCATCTCCCGGAGTCCACTTAAGCTCACACCAACTGTTTCAGTGACTCCATCTAGCCACCTCATTCTCTGCCATCCCCTTCTTCTTTTCCCATCAGTTGTTCCCAGCATTAGGCTCTTCTCCAGGGAGTCCTTCCTTCTCATTAGGTGGCCAAAGTATTTGAGTTTCATCTTCAGTATCTGGCCTTCTAAAGAGCAGTCAGGGTTGATCTCCTCTAGGAGTGGCTGGTTTGATCTCCTTGCAGTCCAAGGGACTTGCAGGAGTCTCCTCCAGCACCTCAATTCAAAGGCTTCAATTCTTCAGCGCTCAGCCTTCCTTATGGTCCAACTTTCACAGCCATACATTGCAACTGGGAAAATCATAGCCTTGACTATACACACTTTTGTTGGCAGGGTGATGTCTCTGCTTTTTAGTATGCTGTCTAGATTTGCCATAGCTTTCCTCCCCAGGAGCAAGCATCTTTTAATTTCTTGGCTGCAGTCCCCATCTGCAGTGATCTTGTAGCCCAGGAAAATAAAATGTCACTACCTCCATTTCTTCCCCATCTAATTGCCAGGAAGTGATAGGACTGGATGCCATGATCTTAGTTTGCTTGATGTTGAGATTCAAGCCAACTTTTGCGCTCTCCTCCTTCACCTGCATCAAGAGGCTCTTTAGTTCCTCTTCACTTTCTGCCATTAGAGTGGTATCATCTGCATATGTGAGGTTGTTGATATTTCTCCCAGCAATCTTAATTCCAACTTGAGGCTTATGGTCATTCCAGAATAGCAGAGGCAGCAACAGAGGCAATATTCACTTCCCTATCCTCCCACCTTGGATTTTCTGATGGACAAGCTCTTTTGCCTATGTGTAAGCTGGTGTGGTAGTTAGAGTGCTGAAGTGGGGATCTGGGAGTGACTAGTGGGTGACTTTGGGGGAATCACTCACTCTCAGCTTTACTTGTCTCACAAGGCTATAGTTGTGAGGATAAGTTCTAAACTACCATGGGAAAAAGGTGAGATATAAATGCAGTGTAATAACAATAGCTGGAGTATCTTGGAATGGGAGGGAAGGAGAGGTGTCAGGATAGCTCATACCCTGGCCTCTCAGGTCTAGATAGGGAAGGGAAGCTAGCGGTCACACAACAAGGCTTCTGCAAAAACAGGTCCTGCCAGACAAACCTTGTGGAATTCTATGACAAGGTGTTGAGATGGCTAGATGGAGGGGATGCAGTGGTTGTGCTATACCTGGATTTCAGCAAGGCCTTTGACAAAGTGCCCCATGATATCCTGGTGGAGAAACTGAGGAGTTTTGGGATACACCAAAGCACTGTTCAGTGGATTAGGGCATGGTTGACTGACTGAAAGCAGAGAGTAGCCATTAGTGGGGAATCATCGGGATGGCGGCCAGTGACAAGCGGGGTCCCCCAGGGCTCTGTTCTGGGGCCGATCCTGTTTAATCTTTTCATAAATGACATGGAAGAAGGGGTGAACAGTCTGCTGGTCAAATTCGCAGACAATACTAAAACTGGGGCAGTGGCCACAACTGAGGAGCAGGTACTCCAGATCCAAAAGGATCTGGACATGCTATGGAAGTGGGCAGGAGACAACAGGATGGCGTTCAATGTGGATAAGTGCAAGGTCTTGCACTTGGGGCATATGAATAAGGGTCATAAGTACAGGTTAGGTGACAAATGGCTGGAGAGCAGCGCTTGTGAAAGGGACCTTGGGGTACTGGTCGACTGCAGGCTAAGCATGAGTCAGCAGTGTGATGTGGTGGTCAAGAGGGCGAATTCCACCCTTGGTTGCATAGCCAGAAGTGTGGCTTCTAGATCGAGAGAGGTATTACTACCACTCTATATGACTCTGGTGTGCCCGCAACTGGAGTATTGTGCTCAGTTTTGGGCCACTCATTACAGAAAGGACATAGCCAGGTTAGAGTCAGTGCAGCGTAGGGCCACAAGGATGGTGGCCAGTTTGCAGGGGATGGGGTATGAGGTGAGACTGAGGGAAATGGGTCTCTTCAGCCTGGAGGAGACTCAGAGGGGATATATTGGCGACATACAGGTATGTGAGGGGATGTCACATGGAGACGGGTAGAGACCTGTTCTCCCCTGCAGAGGAAGGCAGGATACACCCCAACAGAGCAAAGCTCAGGGAACCAAGTTTCCATTTAGATGCCAGAAAGCACTTCCTGACAGTTGGGACCCCAAGGTGTGGAATGGGCTTCCATGAGAGGTCGTTGAGGCCCCATCGGTGAAGATGTTCAAAGATAGGCTGGACATGCACATGGCGGGCATGTCGTGAGCGAAGCCAGCTGGAGCCATGGGTCAGACTAGATGGCGCGGAAGACCCCTTCTGACTCGCTCTGTTTCTTTGTTTCTATGTCTCCTCCTCTCCCCCAGTTCTCCCTCTCAAGCTTACTTTAACTGCCATGGGAAAGCACCAGTGCAGTTCCATCTGTGCTAGCTGGAAGGGGGTGGGAAGAAGGGCCTAAGAGCCTCTGATTTCCAGCTGCAAGTTTGCAGCACTATCTCCAGCGCCAGATGCTTTCTCATCCTTTGAAGAAAGAATAAGGAGCCTTGTGGCTCCTTAAAGACTAACACATCTATTTTGAGATAAACGTGTGTAGACATTGCCCATTCCATCAGATTATCAATGTAATTTATCAGTACATACAGAAGTTGTTAGACCTGGTACCAAAGTAATTCCACACACACAACTCTTTTAAGCCCTATTACAGGCTGCAGAGCAATTCTATGACTCTATGGGGTAACTAACCAGGGCACAACAAGACAATGAATACACCTTAAATACTGAATTATCAATTTCAAACTTTTAATAATTTCCCTAATTGTAATAGCTATTCCTGCTAATGAATTAAAATAAGCCAAGGGAAAAATACCACTCATTGGCCACTCTTTAAATGCCCCAGTAAAAAGGGGCAACTAATACCTGCTAAATGTTCCTCAACCAAGCGATTCTGAGCAGATATTAGGGCTGCCTCCTTTTCCCCCCTACATGGTTCTGATAATTTGCACAAAAAGTGCTAAACAGGGGGCTTTGAAAAAACTCTCTGTTGAATTTCTGTTTTTCATGCAACTATCAAAGGCATAGGAGATCTGCCAAAAAAGTGCCAATGTGATACATACAACTTTTAAAGGCATGCAAGCACCAGAAGTTGAGTTAGTATTAGTAATCCACATATATGGTAGGTAAAATACCTGTTTCCTAACAACGGAACACAGCTGGAGAACACAGACAGAAATTGCTACAAACACACACACACAAGTGTCTTGCAGCACCTTAAGACCCTAAAGCAGCAATCCTATGTAAGTGTAGGCAAGGAAAAAAACCTACAAGGCCTACTCTTCGCCAGCCAGAGGGCAACTGTAAATCACTTTTCTGTCTATATGCTGTTGGGAAAATTTGGATAAATCCTGTCAGAAAAACATTGCTTCTGTGTGCTTTTGCATTGTGGAAGCAATCCTCCTCAAACAAAGCTAAGTCACTGTTTAAAATGGCATTCCTCCCCTGCTTCTTTCTCTCACATTTAGCTGTAAGCTACAGTAGACAGGCCATTTAGTCCAAATATACATTGTATACCTTCACAATTATTAAATAATCCTTGGAATTCACAGTTTACCAGGAAGTATCTTTTCCTAGCCCAGAGGGCTCCATGTGCCCTGGCCATTCAGAAGGGGGCAGATGCATTACTTAGGGTCTGAGTCTGGATGAGCTTATCAGTTCATGAATAGTTTCTCAGTAGCTTGAACATGTCTAAGCAGACCTGGAGATGGGTTCAAGTTACTCAACTAAAGTGTCAATACACTGCAATTAGAATTATTGTAATCTCATTGTCACTGTATGATTAACTGACATTCCTTTATCTGTTCTGTATGTGATGACTTCAGAATCTTATTGTAATGTCCGCATTCTGTCATCAATTGCTCTGTACCTGTGTACGTGACCAGGAGGGTATAAAATATCCTGCAGTTGTATTGAAGCCTTGCAGCCAGTTTACCTCTGCCTGACCGATAATGCATTATCGTGAGTACCGACCCGCGGGGAACCTGGGCCAAACAATAAAGCCACAGATGGTCTGGACGCTTGATCTTTCCCACGAACCCGAGTTTTATTTCCTCCTCACGAATTGAAATTCCGGGATTTTCTGACAATACACAAAAATACGCTCTAATAGATTTATTTTATACTCCGGTGAGCTACGAAACTTTATGCACCAACAAACATATCGGGCTTTCAATGCACCATATAACTTTACTGCGGGGGGAAACGCACTGCTTTGCCCAGCTTCTGTTAGAGGGGTAGTTGTTTTCGGGTGTTTTCCACGGAATCCGCGCGGTGGCTCAGGAAGAGAAAGGGGCCTTTCTCAGGGCTCCCGCTCAGCCCGTCAGAAACGAGCCAACCGCCCGTTGCCCGACTTGGCTGAGCTCGGCCTGACGCGGGGCTGGCGCGGAGCAGCCCAGGCAAGGGGCGCCAGGCGGCCTCCTGGCTTCCGCCCTCGGCCAAGCAAGGCCCGAAGGGTGTTCCCCGCCGCCCCCGGGAAGGTCCGCCGCGCCGGCCGCTCACCTCTCCTCGCAGCCCTGGCCCTTCACTTGCACCGGCACCAACTGGCTGAACAGGCTCTCCGTCGCCATCTTGCGCTTTGAGTTTGGCGCCGGGCTCCCGCGGGGGGGAAAAGAGGGCCGGGCTTGCGGAACGGGCGGGCGGCCGGACGAGCGGAGGGAGGAGGAGCGGCCGTGGCGACAGCGAACAAGATGGCGGCGCCCGGTGCGGCGGGTTCCCCTCAGCCTGGGCGGTGTGCCTATTTCGTGGAACGGAAGCGGCGCTTCTGCAAGATGGTCCCGGCCCGGGGCAGGCGCTTCTGCGGGGAGCACGGCGCTCACGCCGAGGTAGTACCCGGGAAGCAGGCTGGGCTGTCTGCGGAGAGGATAGTGGAGTGGCTTCTTTGGGTGGCAAGAGCTGGCCGGGGCTCAAGAAGCCTGTTTCTTTCTCCCTTGGCAACACGGAGAACGCGAAACTCGGTTTACACGAGGGAGAATTCGTTTGGTTTGCATACGCTTGATTTTGCACTGTGCATTTCCAGATACGGATGGAGCGTAGAGTGAAAAAAGCCCCTTTGCAGCCGCTCAGAGATGTGCTGCCTTGCACGGGGTTCAGCGTGCCCCCTCTTTAATGGCATTCGGGACCGCTGACTTTAGCAACGCGTGTCTCTGCAGTAGCTCAGTCTTTCCTGCCGGATCCAAGCTCCATCTGCCCTAGTTCAAGCCTCGTGCCAGGAAAAGTGATGGGTCGAACTGGATCAAGTTACCCGTTCAAAACCTCAAGCGTTTTTATTGCTCGAACCAACGTGTCCTTTTCGAGTCACCCTTCTCCTGATTAAGGTAGATCTAAGAATACTGAGAGGAGAGTCATTTATTGCTCAGACAGCACGGTTTCATCATTCATTCAGTCAGTCATTCTCTTATATTTAACAAGGGAAGATGCCATCCACTTCTTGCAATTCACCTAGGTCTTTTTTCAGTGATTCTTCTCTGTACTGAAAAATTGGAGCTCTTTAAAATACCAGCTAGCCTAGAATATATTTTCAAGAAATCTCTGTGGATTTGGGTGCAAATCACTCAGGGCATTTTCAGATAAGGCTTAATTGCACTGCCTCATTCATGGAATTTTTACAGGGAATCCAAATAATGTCATTTCCATTTGTAACCGTCTTGGATTTTCCCTCTATTTTTCCATTTTTTCTTTCAACAGCAAAAAAATCTGCTAAGGAAAATATGGAATGGCTGAATGCAGCCTTTTGATGTTGAGCACTAGGAGCCCTCCACCTGGAAGTATTCATAGTCAATGCTCTTAAAATTGTATTCATTTTTAATATTTACTGGTGAATGTACCCAATTTCATATGGGTTGGAATAATCTTTATTATTCGCTTCCTTGAGAGCCATTCTTTGTTAGAAAGGCAAAAAATTAACTAAATAATATAATGAGGACTTTGAGCAGCATTACACAGCTGTCAGAGTGGGATATTATATGCTCTTGTCTGAATGCACAACCGCTTAAGCGTGGTTCTTCCATCGTGCACCCAGACGGAATTGGCCCACCTAGTGATGATAAATGGTACTGCAAATACAGGCATTTTTAAATTAATTAAAAATAATATTCCTGAGAGAGCCAGTGTGGTGTAGTGATTAACAGCACACAACTGGGACTCAGGTGATCTGGGTACTAGTCCCTGCTCAGCCATGGAGCCAGCTGGGTGAATTTGGGCCAGTCACAGACTCATCCCAACCTACTTCACAGAGTTGTTCTGGGGATAAGACAGAGCAGCATGAGGAGAATGATGAAAGCCACCTTGAGTTCTTTAAGAAGAAAAACAGTGGGATATAAATCTATTTAATAAATAAATCTGAGGTGCACATCCTAGGGTTTCTTTAATATGTATATGAAATTTTAGTCATCTAGCTTCACTCTCTTGGAGCTATGGTTATGACTGATGGACTGCATTTTTAATACATTTATGGTAATATTCCAGTATAGCAATGTGGTTCAGAAATCCCCAAGTGTATTATGTACATGTATCTTAAATAGCTCCTCACTGCACTGTATTAAATTTCAAACTTTTTTTTTAACCAGGAAGAAAATAGCAGGAAAAGAATTCCTTGTCCTCTGGATCCAAAACAGTAAGCAAGTTGCATTTGTATGTTATAACCTTTTGAAAAAGAATGTAAATCGTGCTACTAGTTTTCTTTCTGTTTTTGATCTTAGCACCGTATATGAAGATCAGCTACAAAAACACTTGAAAAAGTGTAATTCAAGAGAGCAGCCAAAGCCTGTAAGTCTGCTTCAAAATGTTTGAAGGAGGTAAAGCAATCTCTAAGAGCACAGTCCATCCTAAATTCAGATAAGCTTTCAGAGTTGGGGTTTACATGTATCCAGCAGCCAAAGCACAGCAAACATCTCTACTGCCAGCATGTTTTGTCCTGTGCATTTTATCTAGACAACCATTTCTGGAAGACAGCCGGGAGTGTCACAAGTCAGGTGTCACCTCACCACCCCTTCACACTTCCAAAACACAGACCGTTCTTTGGCAAAGCTCTTTATTCCTCTGTGCACTTCCAACAAAAATGAGTCTGTGAGCTTGCAGAGAACCCAGAACTACTTCTAAGCTTACTCCTTTTGAGTACCTCCTCACTGTGGATGTAACAAGAAGCAATGCCCCCACAGTTTCTTCTGTGGCTTGTCATTATGTGTGAATCTCTCCCTCTACACTCTGAGAGCCAGCCTGCCAGCCAGCATGGTTCTTTCCATAGTGGTTGCCAAGAGGGTGTGTAGGTCTTGGCCACTGGAATACAAACTCCTAGAGTGAAGGACCTCAGCGATGGAACTCCAAAGAATCCTATGCCTGCCCCCCCCCCCCCCGGATAATGTTGGAAGGCTATAAGATGGCATGCTAAAAGTGTCAATCCAACTCCAGTTCCTTTATGCAATATTTTTTCTTTCTGCAAATGCTCGAATGAGATCTGAGTAGCATGGATGTGACTTTGTCTTATGGCAAAGTGAATTGTTTATGGAGTTTTGGGCACTCTTATAGCTTCTGATACCAAGTATAAAGGAATTCTTTAAAAAGCACTGGGTAAGGTTTTAAAAGGTGATAAATAATGAAAAAAGGAAACAGTGAAGAACAGTTTTTGAAAACACAGGAATAAATCAAAGTATGACTAAATACGAATTGACATGAAAACTCCTGGTAAAGTGATATTAGTATTCACTGCTTCCTCATTTGTTCATTTAACCTTTTCATTAAAGGGTTAGTGAATCAGTATAAAAATACTAAAAAAAATCATGCACATTGTTGAATCATAATTAACCTGTAACTTAGTATTTATTCCTTTGTTTACTGAAGGTCTACTTTGTTCAAGATATCAATGCAGGAGTAAAAGATGCAACAGAGTTGCCCAAAGAACAGGTGAAATATTTTTAAAAATAGATGTTTTTTGTGTGTGATTGGAAACAGAGTTCATCTCTCACTTACACAGTGTTCTCTGTGTAAGTACAAGAGGTCTGCGCTGTCTTGTAGTAGCTGCAGTAAAAACTTGAATGCTCTGATTTGTTTGCATTCTGTATTGACCATGATTTTACACCAAGACTTACTAATCTTTGTACTCAAGTGTGTTTTAAAGTTGGTTACATTGTCCTCTGCCTTACACCCCAAGATAAAGCTGTATCTCTGCTTTTGGCTTGGGCTGAAACCTATGCTGTTGATCTTTTGAAACATCACAGCCAGGCAACCGTTGTCCAGGATCAACTGGACAACCATCTGAGAGGGATGGTTTAACTTGGAATCCTGCACTGAACAGGAGTTTGGACCCGATGGTCCCTTGCCCCCTTTCAACCCTACTGCTCTATGATTCTATGACTACATCTATCTCACATCTGCCTTTAACTCTTTCATCCCAAATCAACAGACTTATACTGGTCTAAGACGGAAGTTCCTTATAGGCACCAATGGCCAGCTAACAGTTTGTCGTGCTAGGTTTTTTGCAGCTGCCTGCAAATTCACAAAGATATTGTATGCAATGTTTTAAAATTTTAATTTTAATTAGAATTTGTAACAGGTAATTTTAAACAATTTGTTATCATTTGTTTATTATTATTTTGTCTTTTAATAGTTAGAATATTTTAACCCAGAGTGTTATTTGTAAATTGTTTGTTAAGGACAAGCTGGTCACTGATCATAATAAGTTGTTGGTCTAAGGCAGTCTTCCCCAACCTGGCATCCTCCAATTGTTTTGGACTTCAGCTCTCATTAATCCCAGTCAGCATGACCAAAGGCCAGGAATGCTTGGCATTGTAATCCAAAATATCTGAAGGGTATCAGGTTGGGAAAAGCAGAACTAAAGTTATCACTTAGGATGCAGTCCAATCCCTGTTTAGACAGAAAAAAATCCTAGTACTTCCAGAGACGTTTTCGTGTCTAAACATAGAATTGCCCTCTCACAGCCTTATTCTATGTATCCTTGCTCATAAGAAGACATCACTGGGATTGCCAAGCAACATTTAGCGTACAGTTAGACTGTTTCCTTGATAACCACTGTACTAGATATGTGTTTGCCCTTACAAGCTACAGGCAACCGAACATTGAATAAGTTTGATAAAGGCTGAGTGACTTTTACTGTATTTATTACCATGGTTAGCTATCCTTCGTCCTCCTTCATCCAATGGTTATATTTTGTAATTGAATTTGTGTATCATGCCTTAGGGAACTATTTGTGTTCATCTCCTTCTGGTGACTAGCACCAATCAAAGAGACTTGCATACGCTTCAGAACAGCCCAAAATGAATACAGTGGTACCTTGGCTCACAAACTTAATCAGTTCCAGAACACTGGTCATGACCCAAAATGTTCATGAGCCAAGTTAAATTTCCCCATAAGGTTCAATGTAAATAAGGGTAATCCGTTCTGTAACTATTCTTTTTAATCAGAAAAATGTGAAGCAAAGTGACAAAGAACAACAAAGATCGCGGCCATCTCCCCACCCCACCACAACCACGATCGTGCCCGTCATCCCTGCACACATCTGTCATCCTGGCACGCTGGGGGAGGGGGGGAGAGACGGGTGCGATCACAGGCACGCTGCAGGGGGAGAGAGGGGCGCAAATGGGGTGCGCTGGAAGGGGAGAGACGGGCATGAACGAGGCGTGCTGGCGGGGAGAGACGGGCGTGATCATGCAGGGGGGGGGGGAGATGGCCAAGAGTACGGTTGTGCTCCTGCAGGAAAGACGGGTGCAATCTCGGCCACTGCCCCCAGCACGATCGCGGCCATTTCCCCACTCAAGGGGGATGGGGAGACGGCCACGATCATGGTCGCCACCCAATGTGGAGTTCGCGACCTGAGTTAAAATGTTTATGAAATTTTTGTTCACGACCCAACTTGGTTCGTGAGCCGAGGTACCACTGTACTGGGCTGTTGTTCAACCTTTTGTTAAACCATAAAAACCCCTTTGTATGACTACTTTTGTGTTCATTCCAGCAGATACCAATTTCTACACTTTCTAAAGAACAGTTAGAGGATTTAATTAGGAAGCTAAGAAGAGCAAGTAACAGTGAGTCTACTTTTACTTTTAGATTGGATTATAGTGGATGCCTTGGAGAAATAAAATATTTTGGAAATATCCTAATGGCTGCATGCTATTTTTAAGGCATAGCTACTCTGGAAGCCTGTTAAAAAACTAGCTGTTTAAAATACCACCAATCCAAATTGAAAGTCTTTGATATGACACTGACAAATCATATTAAAACATATTTTGCTTGGAAGGAAGCTTTTTGATGGCTGCCTTAGCTAAAACTCAGAGGAATACCTCTGCATCTCATTTACAGGTATAAACTATGTACTTAAGGATGAAATCCTCTCTCATCAGGCCTTAAACGAAGCCCTAAATGACCCCAAAAATGGAGTTGCAGCTATTAAGCATTTGAAACAACAGGTAATAGATCTTTTTAGCAGTAAATATTATCTTTGCAGCAACTTTCTAGTTCATTTCTAGTTGTAGTCTCAGTAGTTTCCTTATGAAGTACTTAATTTTTCACAGTTTATTCTTAACATTCTCAGTTAAAGCACTAGAAGGATTACCTGGAGAGTTCTTTTTTTAAAAAAGTGTCAGATCTACTTTTATTTATGGGACGACTTCATGCATGGAGCTTTTGTTCACATTTTTGTTCTGTTCTAAGTTTTAATATAAAATAAACTTGTAAGAGTAGGTGCTAATAGTAAATGCTATAATATTGACAAGTAAAAAGGTGTGACCATACAGTGCCTTGCAGAAATAGTCACACACATGCCCCCTTTGACTTCTCCACACTTTGTGTTACAATCTGAGACTGAAATGCATTTAACTGGCATTTTTCCACCTATGAACACAAACTACTCAACACTGTGAAGGTGTTTATATCGATTGTGACACAAAAGAAAATAAAAATTAACTGCAGATGTGTCCCTTTAAACTATAAACTTCATGTCCCCCACCCCGATACGGAGTTTCCCTCAAGTTTTGCGACTTCCCAAGTTGGTATACAGCCAGGATAAATGTAAACCCAATGGGGAAAATAGGGATTTCCTTGGAGATCCTGCTTGGACAGGAAGGAATGGAAGGAGTGTCCCCTAAACATACTTTTTTGGTTTCTTGGTTTTGTTTAGGGGACGCCTTGTACCAGAGAGGTCCACCTGGCGCTGACATTATATGCTTTCTGGCGCCAGGTCAAGACCTTTTTATTTACCCAGTATTTTAATGTTTACATTTTTAATTATGTTTTTATTGCAGTGGTGGGTTATTAGTATTATTATGTTTGGTTTATTATTATGATAATTTTATTACATTGTATTTAATTATTGTTGTAAGCCATCCAGAGATGGGTGGTGATTGGACGGGTTAGAAATACCCCAATAAATAAATAAATATTATCCAGTCTTGGAAAAGTGAGGGCAGCTCAGGGAGCTATGAGCACCCCCCTCCCCCCAGGATTCTGCTGCAAAGGGTGTTTTCCATGTCTCCTATATATTTTTAAAGAAATTCTGAAAAAAGTGGATACCAAGTTGCAATTTGGCATTGACACACTATTAAAATTCTCAAGGCGTTCAGCATGTCATACAAACCCACCCAAGCAAACATTTTTGCACCTGTATTCCCAATAAGTACAGGAAATATTAGAACTAGTTAGTTGCTCTAAACGTTGTGAGATGTAGAAATGCTTTTTTCCTGGTATTATGTAGAAGTTGGTTGGTTGATAAATGATGTTTTGATATTTTCAGGCTTCTATATTAGGTCACATGGAAAGACTGCATTTGCTTGGATCAGGGAAATGTTTTGTTGAATTTGGTGCTGGACGGGGAAAGCTGTCCCACTGGGTGGATATAGCCTTACACAATGCACAAGATATTCACTTTCTTCTTGTTGAAAGAGCTACTACCAGATTCAAGGTAGGGCATTTCTGCAAGCTTTCATTTTGTGCTGGTCCAATTTTGGCTTGTTTTACTGGAAAAAATTGCCAATAAAATAAGTAATTTCAAAAGCTACTCTTGCTTTAAGGATATAAGAAAAGCAATGCCAGATCGGGCCAAAGGTCCATCTAGGCCAGCAGTCCATACACATGCCAGAAAAGCCATGGCAGTAATAGCATCATAGTAATGAATAACTTGTACTATTGAATATTTTTGTTTTGAGTTGTAAAACATCACTAGAATTTTCTAAGTAAATTAGTGGGTGACCTTTCTTTAATAATAACAAATTGTTTTGTTCACAAGGTAGATGGCAAGCACAGGAAAAATTGCTTTGAAAGGCTTCAAGTTGATATCCAGCACTTAGGCTTAAGTAAGTTTCTCATTCATTTACACAAATATTTATTTATGAACTCTGGGAAAGACAATGCATAAGAACAGGAAGATCTTAGAAGAGAGTAAGGCATGGTGAAAAGTGCTTTGATTTCATGTGGATTCTGGCTGTAACCTGAACGTTTGGATTGCCATCAAATAACTACCATCAGATTTTCATCCCATGTAGTTCTGATTCAAACCAAGTAGTTTGTACATTATTTTTAAAAGATTTGCATATGGCCAAACTCCATTGCATTGAATAAGATGGACTAAAGAGTCCCTATCAAAGAAATAGGATATATCTGACTAAGAACATGCATCTGAATTCTTTGGCAACATTGAACAGATTTTGCTATTATTGAACTTTTTTAGTAGACTGGGAGAGTATGGTTATCCTTATGTCCTGCTTGTGGACTTCCCAGATTCAGCTGCAAAAGAGATTCTGGGAAAGAGGCTTCTGGACTAGATGGTTCAGCAGGCTTTTTATGATGATCTTAGATTTTTGATGCTGCTTTATTTACATTTAATTTCAGTATCTGTCTGGTGTGTATGTATACAAATATGTAATGTGTATACAATTTCAGACTACATTGAATTTATCTTGAAGCAGTCATTTTGATTATTTCATCCAGAATGGTGCAAGCTAAAAGTAATGATTCTGGGTTTCCTTCCTTTTTCAGATAAGGTACCTGTTCTTGCAAAACGAAAGCTACCTGTGATAGGCATTGGAAAACATGTATGTGGAGCTGCAACAGGTACAAATTATGCAGATTTTTAGTGGTGAACAACCTGTAGTTGGACTACAGTACTCATCATCTTGGCTGTTGGCCATGCTGACCAATGCTGATGGGAACTGAAGTCCAACGTCATCTGGACGTCTACAGGTTCCTCACACCTGAAGGAGAAAGAAAGATCTAAGAATACCCTGTAAAACTACTTCTTGCTTAAAATTATACAAGTCTATATAGTTGCATGACTTTATTCTTAGTATCATTTTTATTGCCCCTTCTTGGTAGATAGGTATTTACTTTTGAACACTCAAGATTTTCCTAAAATATCCATATCAATATACAGCTAGGTCACAGTTGATGCAAGTTTGAATAATGGGATATTTGATGTAGTATGAATTGTAAAATGATACTAGGTTATGTTTGATGCAAACCAAAATCCAGTTAATGTGAGGCTCGTGCATGTGCAATTGAGGTTACCATTAGTGTTCAGAGGCTGCTACTTCAGAGTCTCTCTACCTGTCTATGAACTTTATGGTTTTTTTACCCTACTTCCTGCACCATCCTTTTCATAGACCTAAGAAAAGGTTTAATGTATTATTCTAAGGAAAAGACTTTATCCACCACCATTTTGTGTGTGCACAATTATGGAGAAGCCTGTAAATCATAGATAAGTAAGCAACAGCAAAATAGAGCAGGTCAGAGAGAGACAAAAGAGGCCAGTTTTATCCTCTGATGTTTCATGGCGCAGTTGAGGAGTGTGCCATTAAAGCAATCGTAGTTTATATTGATTTATAGTGGACAGTTTGCCAGCCCATGCAAAAATTACATTTATGTTTTATTACACTGTGCAAAGTACTTATGTCAGTAGTATGTGTAAGAGATAACTACTCTTTAACTGCTCTTTAACTACTCTTTAACTACTCTTTAACTGACTTTGTTAACAAATTCACATTACAAGGGTATTCTTTTTATCCTTTACTGTAATATTTTGTTAATACACATATAAAAACTTAGGGTTTCATTGCCTATTTCTGTTGCGCTGAAACCAGTTACCATATTTTACATAGAATTGTAACTTTAAATAGTGCAAATTGGAATAACACGACCACTGCATGAGATTTATTATCTGTGCTATTCAAAACCTACCTGTAATTTAAAGGAAAGGAAACATAATAAACTGTAGAAGCAAGCATAAGATGCCCATAATCCTTTGGGTTCAGAGGTGTATGAGCATCTCCACTGAATACCATCTTCCTATACTTGGGCTGGGGAGCTGTTTTTGGTTCGATGCTGTAGCATAGAGCCCTGTGTGTTAAGACTCTTGCTGCTTGTGCTGGGAAGCAACTAAAATGCAGTGAGACAGAATCATAACCTTTCAGAATAAACTTACAGCAGTACCTATACTTTGGGGTGCAATTCTACTCATATTCTTGAACTCCATAAAACATGTAGCCTTGCATAGAATTAGGATCTTAAGCAGTAATGCTAAATGAACTGCTTGAAAATGTTGCACCATAAATATGGTGCAAAATACGGTAAATAAGCTGCTATTACAGATTGAATTAGGTGAAAAGGTGGTCTAGACATCAAGAATTATACAGAAATACCACCGTGTTATAGGCATTTGTTATTCTATTGTGTGTAGCAATCGCTGTTCAAATAGTACTTATCGATTCACAGATCTTGCTTTGAGATGTTTAGTTGAAACTTATGCAAAACCCTTTGACAAAAAGGAAGGTCCTGCACCTAAACGCTTAAAGACTGATGAAGGCAACGCGACTCCTAATAATTCTGGTGAAACATTGAACACCTCTGTAACTGACAACTGGAGACCTGTAGCTGGGATTGTTATTGCTCTATGTTGCCATCACAGGTGTGACTGGAAACATTATGTAGGCCAAGAATTCTTTGCAACAGTAGGACTTGGGGCAGTGGAATTTAATTATTTTAAAAGAATGACAAGCTGGGCTACTTGTGGCATGAAAGACACTTCAAAAAAATCCTGTGAAACTGACACAAAGAATGAAGACCAAAACGATGAGGAGGAAGAACATGCCCAAGATGTTGGGAGTCTTGAGTGCAGTTTGGATAACCTCCAAGGGTAAGTGAACTCTTTAGTGCAATGGTTTTCTGAAATAAATGTTCTAATTTTGGGCACTTTATATCTTTTAGCTACATAAATCAGAAGGATTGTTTTCCCTACCAAAATTTTAGTAACTGAATGCATGTTCCAAGGTCTTAAAGTGGACTCTGCTTCTCCAAAAAATTGCACGGAGAGATTTTAGTCCTTATGGTGATACAAGTCTCTTCATCATTTTGAAATAGTAAGGCATTAGCTGTCTGGTTGTGCAAAAGTGCTCTTAATGTAATATCCTGCTTTGATTCATTGAAATATTAAGCTTCTAAATCCCCTTTTCCATTTTGGTTCCAGGCTGCTAACCACCGAGGAACGAAAACAGATAGGTCAGCTTTGCAAACTGTTGATTGATTACGGTCGGCTTGAATATTTACAGCAGAGAGGTTATGAAGCTGTGTTGCAGCGTTACACCGATCACAGTGTGTCCTTAGAAAATGTACTCTTGACAGCTGTGCCATGCCAGTCTCCATTAGCAACTTCTTAAAATGAGAAGATTTTAAAATATCTAAGCATACAGTCTGCAGAAATTTTCTTGACTTCTACCTGATATTGTGCTTATCAGCAGTAGTATTCATGGTCTTCTATGGAGCCAAAAAAAAGAAGCACCAATTTAGTCCTCTGCATTGAAAGGACACCTCAACTTCTTTGGTACAGTGACTATGGAAGCTGTTTCTTCTACCTGTCCTTATAAGAACTGTAATAGTTACCTTTCAGTAACAGTAAACCCAGAAAGGACATGGAATTTTATTTTTCCTTGTCAGCTGAGGCACCATCTGGAGTATCACTTTCCATGTTTTCTGAAAGAAAAGAAGGTTAAGGGAACAAATACACATACTGAGAAACTTACAATTTATATTTTTAAACATTTAATGATAATATATATTTTTACTCTTAACTAATTTTCTATATGTTTTGTAAGATTTTTAAAGCTTATTTTGCTCTGTTTATATGCAGAGGATTAAAGTACTGTACTGAAGTCTAATTGTTTTTTCCCCAGCTGACATACTTCACATGGGCCTTACCACAATTTACATTTATACCTTTGCTGTAAGCCGCCTAGGAAGGGCTCAACAATTATAGGCAGCCTAAAAATACACATATAAATAAATAATATAAATAAACTCACATAGTTCTGCCTCTTTTCCTTTATTTCATCTACATGATTGTATGAGTTGGGATGCCTCCATTTTTTAAACCATACTTTAGCATTTCATTCAAAGCCTAAACCATGGATAATGTTAGCTACAGTTTGTTTAAACTAGCCAACTTCATGACCAAACATTTAACATTGACTTAATTCAAACAGGTTGTCAGATGAAATCACAAGCCACAGTGGTGCTTTTTAGCAAAATCTTGCCATGAGATCGAAGAACATTTAGAGGATGGAATGCTTGAGCCTTTGGCTTGCCTAGCTTAATTAATGGCACATCATTGAGGGCAAAACTGCATTATTTCTACAAGCACAGGTTTCCATTTTTGCTGAATACTTTGGGAACTTTTTCAGGAGAAATCTGCATTCCTTCCAGAACTCTTCAAGGAGGATCTGAGATCTAAAATTTTATTTCTCCAGCTTGTCCTAAATTAGCTTTTGTAAGCTCAAGGACAAATGACTTAGTTTTTCTCTTCAGTTGGTAAAGTGGCAACAATTATTAAAGAAGACCTACCCTTTTTCCCTGAAGAAGAAGAAAGAGTAAAATGTAAAGGATTACAAGGTTGCATCACTTCAAAAGTCGGGTGCATATTTGACAATGGATTCTGATTTGTATTAATTTTTCCCATATAAAAATACACTACCTTTTCTCCTGAGTGACTCCTCAATGTATGCATGCATGAACTCAATGCCATGCAGTTCCCGTTCCTCTTCCTCTTCAGTATTCTCACAAGGTGGAAGTGTTACCTGCAACTTCAGCGGGTTGTCTCTGAAGTTGACAAATCTAGTTATGTGTAAGAGTAATGTGTTAATGAAATGTTTTTTCTTCAAATGAACAAAAAAAATGCAGGAAGGCATTTTCAATCCTAACAATCCAATGTTCAGACAAAACTGCCAGGAACAAAATCCCTGCTCATTTTAGTGGGGCTCCCTTCTCTGGTCTAACTACAAGTAAAACAACAGTTTCCATTTTGAATTAATCACAAGGTTAGCTTAATGACTGAACTCTAAATTGTGGTTAATTCTAATTAGTTTGCTTAAACAACCCAGGTTCTTAATTTGTCCCGTGTGAAAAAACCAACCTTTCCACCTCCATTCTAGAACAAGGGTCCCCCAAGCCCCAGGTCACGGACTGGTACTGGTCTGTGGCCTGTTTAGAACTGGGCTGCACAGCAGGAGGTGAGCGGCGGGTGAGCAAAGCTTCATCTGTATCTGCAGTTCTGGCATCACAGCCTCGGCTCCACCTCAGCTCATTGGGCATTAGATTCTCATAGTGCGAACCCTACTGTACTGTAAACTGCACGTACGAGGGGTCTAGGTTGCGTGCTCCTTATGAGAATCTAATGCCTGAGGAGCAGCTGCAAGTACAGATCATCATTGGCAAAGAAGTTTGACTGCACAGACATCAGACTCATATCAAAACCTTATCAGTGAGTGGTGAGTGACAGTTCAGCTGCATCTAGTTGCAAGAAAACCAGCTCAGGGCTCCCATTGATTCTGCATTATGGTGAGTTGTATAATTATTATATATCACAATGTAATAATAGAAATAAAGTGCACAATGAATGCAATGCACTTGAATCATCCCAAAACCACCCATCTCCCCCCACCAATCCATGGAAAAATGGTCGTCCATGAAACCAGTCCCTAGTGCCAAAAAAGGTTGGAGGCTGCTTTTCTAGAATACGTCTCTGAACAAAGAGCATGAGCAGGCATTTACAGGCCCCAAAATCTGCATTACTGCATTTCTGAGGCTTGACATCTTACTGACTTCAGCCTCTCTCTCCCCCCCACTCCGGACTCTTCCATGCCATGGAACCCCAGAGTTTTTCTAGGTAAAGTTTTTATCCTGCATTGCCCTGCCTTATTCCCTGTATTTTATGCTTGTAATACCCCTGGGTTTTTCTACCACTCTCCTAGCAGAGAAAATCCATCACAGAAGAAAAAAGAACTGCTACACGGTGCCTTCTGACTAGTGCTAGGAGTCTTGCAAGTGCCATCTGAGTTGGGCAACTCCTTGCACTGCTCATATCCCAATTAAAGTGTGAGCAATATAGGGAAAGGGTTCATCTGGGGCTTGCAGGAACTGGTCCTGTGGCTCTTGGTCAAATGTTCATGTTATCTTCAATCTCTGTTTGCAAGTAAAATCCCTTAATGCAGCCCATTCTCCCATTGCAAGCATGTGGAGGAATCCATCAAGGGTGCTCAGCCCTCCATATGCCAGGCTGGGAACATGAGCTGCAGGTTACTGCTCTTTGTGCTACAGCACCCAATGTGATGTTTTACTTTTTAAAGGCACATCAGACTTGCATGCAGCACCCCTGTGACTTGGCTCACAATGTGAGGATCACTGGAGAATATGAATGCACATTCATTCATTCAACACTTTTATAGCCTACCCGATACATAAAAGTCTAACAATAAATAGAAGGTTTGGTCTTGCATGCAACCACTCAATTTCAAGAGCTGGTTTGTGATACTATGTGACATTTCCATTTTTGCTTATGACATACCCAGGTGCAATGTGATTCTGTGCATTTGGCCAAGGAGTTGGGGGAAAAAAATTCGAGTTACTGCAGTAGTTTACCTCTCACCTTAGGTTTGTCACATCTTTCATGAAAGCAGGAATATCTTGGAGTCTGTTGCCAGTAAGGACAAGTGTGCTCAGGTTTTTTAAGTTACAAATGGACTCTGGTAAGAAAGTGATTTGATTTCTTTGAAGCCACAAAGTATGCAAGTTTTCTGCTCTGTAACGTCAAAAACAGATGTATTCAATGATGAATAAAATCACTTGGCTGCAGATACACATTTTTAACTTCCTTGACATGGTAATTTGTCAGTATGGCCATAACTGTGGATGCAGCATGTACAGTGTCACTTGAGCAATTTATCATGAGACTTTTCAGAATCTCTGGCAGCATGGCAAGGTAAGATCTCTATCTGGAATCTTGAAGAGATTGTCCTCTTCAGAGCTGACAGCAGGAAAGCCCTTACAAAGTATTTCATAAGGAAGGTTGCTTTTCTAGGAGAAAATATAACTAGCAAAGTAAAACAGCCTCTTCTAAAATATTTCCATCATTCACCTGTTCCTGCCTCTCCATCCAATCCATGAGAGGGGCTTCTGTGTCCATCAGCGAATGGGGCCAAACTACTAGCAAAATTAGGAAGGGGTGGGTAGAATCCACTAGCAAATTTCTGAGTGATTTGTACTAGAACAGTAAAGAGTTCTGACATTCAGTTATTGAACAGACAATGCCTGTTTTCCTGTTGGAACCAAGAAAGTTTGGGATAAAGCAGGAGAATATGTTTGCAAAAGGACGTTCTGGGTTTGAAAACATGTTTGTGGGATGAATAGGTGTTCAGAGGCTCTTTGTTGCATAATTCTGTGCCCCATTAGGGAGCTGCTGTTTTGCACATGGTGCTGGGGAGTTCAGTTGCAAAACGAAGTAGATCCCTCATGGTTAAAGTTTACTTGCCCCTGGATTATGAACCACACAGAGCCCTTTGGCTATTGGGCAGTGCAGAAGATAAGTGAAAAACTGGGAGTGAAAAACACTTTATATGTTTTCTCAATAATGCTGAATCAAATACTACTCCACTCAGAAACTGAGCTCCAGTGGAAGAAGTTTTAGACTGGAGTCAACTGGTTTGTTACTCCATCTGTGAAATGGAAACAGATGTGTGCTATGCTTATCTCAAAGCATAGCACACATTAAAGCAATATACAAATTATTTGAATGTATAACAGTCCTTTCAATTAGACATTCTATGTTAGTTTCAGTGCAGTGTATATATATCAGTGAACTAAAATGGTCTAAGTTTAAATATATCTGCTGGTAAATTATGCTGGCTGGGGAATGCTGGGAGTAGTAAACTTTTTCTGTTTAAACTTCCATAGGATATTGACTTAAGAATCTCTGCATCTGCTTTGGTTTAAATATTAGAATCATACTGCTTGCCTATATCCAGGATCTTGCCCCTTTACCATCTAAGTAGCAAGACATTTTATTTGTGCAACTGTTATTGCTACTATGAAATCTTCAATAAAGTTAAATCACTGGGGCAGGAATTCCTCTTATCCACTGACATATAATTTACCTGTCAAGATTGCCAGGGATTTCTTTAAGCTGATTGCTCCCCAAGTCTAACCATTCCAGGTTTGGCATATCCAGGACAACTGATGGGAAGGTGGTAAAATTGTTCATGCTCAGATCCAGGTGGTAAAGCTTCTTCATTTCCCTGAGCTGAAGAAAAGGGGAAGGATCAGGAGTGGCAATGCATCTCCATAGGTCACAGTTGATCAAAGAAATGGCTGGAGCTGTTATCCAGGAAGCACTGCATCCAATTTTTGTGCATTCTGGACAATAGTCTAGCAGTTATCTGCCTTAGAGGGAGGGAGAGAAGAGATCCTCCCACATCACTCATGTTATTTCTGTGCTCTTGAACGCATTGATCTTGAAAGTGCCAGGAAATCTGTAGTATGAGTGGATTAGGCACTGCCCCATGTCCTCCACTTGGCCTGGTGAGCTCTAGAGAGATGCTAGCCCTTACTAGATATTGTTGCCTGCTAAACAAAAGCCACTGTGTTTACAAACTTCTTTAGAAATCAGAGGTACTACTATGGACAACATGTCTAGTAAAACTGGCTATTTTAATATTGTTTTATTGACTAGATATAATGGTAAGTAAAGTATGCAATACCAAAAAAACCTACACAGCAGTTATTCGAGTAACCTGCAAGATGCAAATGCATCGTTATCTGTCCTGTTCCTACAGCAACCAATTTGTTCTGTTTCTCCAGGCAAACATGCATGACTGAAATGTTCCTTTGTATAATTACATTGTTCTGGGGAAAAACACTGTGGGCAGTACGGAACAGCTTCACCAGTGTTCAAGACATTTAGTAGAGTGACAGAAAAACCACAGAAAACTTCCAGTTACTGAAATTAGCTCAGAGAAGGGCAACCACAACCAAGCAGTACTTGACAACTGCATTATGTGGTGAGTCTCCCAGACAGGGCCTCCCTGGCTGCGAACCCAGCAAGTATCACCAGTGCAGTGGGTCTGAATTGGGACTTAGTGGGAAAACAGATCCAGCACTAGTTACTCTGGTATTAACTCTGGTCTTTGCAAATATGCCTCTTGTTATCCTAGTCAAAGAGAAAAGGAATAGTATTTCCAAACCTGATAGGGAAGCTCAGCGATGTCACGATTCACTGCCAGGTCCAATCTTTCTAAGCTGACACAATTGCACAGCTCTTTAGGAACAGATTTGATTTTATTGTAACTGAGGATCAGCTCTTGGAGATTTGACAACTGACCTGCAGAAGCGACAGATAAAACAAAAACTTCAGTATTACATTCACTTGTAATATGCTTCTTTTCAACAAATGACATGCTATTTAAAGTTAGAGGAAGAGGAATAGTGTGTGGAATCTGCTGTTACAGATTTTGACAGCTCTCAGTCCTCTCCCACTGCCCTGCAATTCTAGAGTTCATGGAGCTAGCAAAAGTATTATTTTGCTCTCAAACATAATAGCCACAGAAGAACTAATATTGGTGTTACTTCTCGCTTTCTAGTCATAGGTCTAGCAGGACCCCCACGGTTCAAGGATAGGCTAGACATGCACATAGTAGGCATGTCCTGAGTGGAGCCGGCTGGAGCCGGGGATCAGACTAGATGGCCCGGAAGACCCCTTCTGACTCACTCAGTTTCTATGTTTCTAACTCATTTTTAATTTGGGTTGTAACTTGGCCAGTTCTCCATGGGGCCCATAAACAGAGGGCATTTAAATGTTTTAGTTTTCCTGTTACTTCAGCAGAAAGAGACAATGGAAAGTGATTGGTTTGCTCATGTGATTTATCCAAAAACAAGTAGGGGAAAGGAGGGCTTTCTAATATGACTACATAAAGCCTTTTTCAAACTAGCTTGACCAAAAATATATTATTATGTTAACTGGGACCTTGCCTTTTTTGCCTCCTGCAAGGAACCCATGGCAGCTTGCATAACCTTCCTCTGCTCCATCTTATCCTCACAACAACAATCCAGTGAGACTTCCAAATAGCCCAATGTCACCCAGTGACCTTCATGGCTGAGTGAGGACTAGAACCCAGATCACCAGTCTAACAATCTAACTCAAACACTTTCCTTTTCCTCAGAGGGACTCACTAGATTCTAGTCGAGTGACTAGAAGGTTCCTTCTAGATGGTAGGATGACACCAGTTGGTGACTAGGAAAGGCCAACGACAAGGAATCCTAATGCCATGTCATTTCTGTTATTGAGATTAAATCCTTATGTAACTTTATCAAACACTAACTTTAGTTTGAACCATTTTAAAATCCTGTTGGAACTATAAAGAGGGATATGGGTTTTGACATAAAGAAAATTAATAGTTACTAAATATGCTTTATTCAAAGACCAGGAATCCCAATGAGTTTTAAGCAGATGAACTTCATCAGAAGGAAAACGTTATTCAAAAAAGATCTCCTTCCAAAAATCACGTAACTCTGGCAGGATTCCTTGATTCAGACATGAAATAATAGACAGGAACTAGAACATTTTAGCATCCAACTCACCAATCTCCCTAGGGATTTCCGCAATGGAATTTCGGGACAGATCTAGAACAATGAGATTTTGAAAGCGACCAATGAATTGAGGGATTTTTACCAAATTGATTCTGTGAAGCTGCCATTCCTGGAGGTGGTTCAGTCTCAGTAAACAAGAAGGTAGAGTCTAAATTTGGATGAGACAAAAATCGGAGAAAGCAGGAGATGACTGAGCATGTCAAATCAAGAATCCAAACAGTTTGGAACTAAGTAATTGAAAGAGCAAAGATATAATGAAACAAACGAAAATCAGGATTAAATTTATCACACCCAGAGCTGGATTCTGGCTAATCTAAATAAGGGATCATTTGAACACTGATTTTATGTCAGGTAAGCACATGGAGAAAGATCATGGGAGGTGAATAATCAGGTATCCTCATGGTGGTTCTTAATTATCATTTTGCCTTGAAGGAGCAAGTCTGCATCAGTTTTAATCATGAGAAAGTAAATCTTTCTATTGCAATCAAAACCACATGACTCAAATAATCCCAGCTCTTATTTTACACTGTTACTCTGTTAAGATTCTGTGATACTATCCTATTTACTGCCAAGGAACAATTCAGAATATTAAGTTAAGAAGAATGTGAGAGTCTGTCTCCGCCTTTCCCAGTCTGATGCCCTCGTGGACTACCACACCCATCATTCCCAGCCATCATTGTTAATTGCCATGCTAGCAAGGGGTAAGTTGTTGCCTACAAGGGAAAGCTAGTCTATCTGAACAGGCAGATAAACTTCATGATACACTTGGAACCAGATATCTATTTACTTAAAATTACTTGTAGGTCTCCTTTAAAGAAAGAATCCTCTCAAGGCGCCATACAAGATAAAGCAATACATAAACAGGAAAAACAAATGGAAAAGCAAGACACTAATACTGAATAAAATACAAATGGGTAGCATCAATAAAACAGAACAGCTTCCCCTTTGTATAGCCAATTGGCCTTTATTCAAAGGAGGTTTGGTTGGCTGCTCTGCACCACCCTAAGAGCAGCCTTCACAGCAGGGGCTGCCGCTGCCTGGTCCTGGAGGAATAAAAATGTACCTGTGCCTGTTCACTCAAGTTTGCCCTTACCTGTAATTGATATATGTGGCCCTGTTTAACCCTTTTATTGTAAATTGTAACTGTTTATTTGTTAGATTGCACTATATATGTATTTTTGCTATGATCTCTTGTGCTCTAGCAATTTAAAGTGAATATATTCATGTGTCTACATGAGATAATATGCAAATAAGCAGTTTCTTCCACATACAGTCTGAAATGGTACTAGGAACTCTGTCTATAAATATTTGCATATATGTACACCCATCCTGTTTGTGCTGAATTAAGCCTATATATTTTGATGCTTTAAAGTTTTACTAATATTATTTGCATTTACTTGTTTAAACAATTAAATGCAAAGAATATACCAAAAGCATTATCTGCACAAGAGTTCGGAAAAATAAAACCACTAGAACATTCTACATGGTAACACAGACAGAATTGAAATATATAAAAACCTACACAAAAATAGAGAGGTTTATTTCATTATAAATCAGCATTATTCCTTCCTTACTGAAATACAATGTTGCTACAGGAAAAGTATGGACTTGACTTTTTTGTTATTGTAGGTGTATAATTCTAGTTATATGAATCTGTCAACAAATGGGGAATTATCACTCACTATTCTTGAATAGCTGCTTCACCCCGTCTCTCTCCTCAGGATTAGAAGCCGTGCTAAATACTTTAGTAAGTCTGTCTGAAAATTAATGGGACTTAAAGTAGGCATATATCTCTATATTCACAAGCAGTAAACTTTGTTTTGTATATATATTTATATTATAAAAACATATGACTCCAAATGCATGCTCTTATCTGAAAGTTATGAAACAGCACCAACCCAACAGCAGGGAGAACATAACTATGTATCAATTTGATGTACTAAAACATTGACAGTGAAATAGTATTATCGACTCTTTTGTAAATTTTATTATACAAATTATACCTTCCATTCTTCCTGCTCAATCCTTAAAACAGCCCTTCCATCTTCAGTGGTTACTTTTTCTTTAAGTTTGGCCAAACTGGCCTTTTCTTCCCAAACAAGGGTCAGTCTAGAAAGAAGGTTGCAAAACTTTAATGAAACCTTCCTTATCGCTTTGGCTTTCCAACTTCTAATTTTAAGAATTCTGATCTACAGGCATGGTCAGAAGGCAGGGCCTGGGACAAGCCAAGTCACAATGTCCAGAAGTGAAAGGGATGCTATGAAACACACAAGCAAGAACTGGCATTGGTCCCTTCATTTAAAAAAAAGTTCCTGGACCATTGTGCCGATCTGCCCTGACAAGGTGCTCTCTAAATGCTGATGGCATGATGCCACAGGCCAGTCTACCCAGAGAGAAGGATGGGGTGGTAGAATTCTGGATTTTACCTCTTCAGCCTACAAATGATCAGGTAGCTGTATTTTCAACCGTCTCGCAATATAACAAAGGGTGGCTCTTCTCCCCTCATGCTGACCCTTCTTTTACTTAGGGTACCATACACCTCATTCAACTGCATAGGTAGACCAGCCCTCAAATAAGGTAATGGAGCTCAACAACCTTGTTGCAAATATAAATGTTGTATGTCATGCAGAATTGTTCTAGCCCAACTTTACCTGCTCTTCTAGTTGTCTGCCTATGGAGGGTTGTCCTCCATGCAAGGTTACAGGCAAACCCTGATGGGAACAAGATTAAAGGGGTATCTCCAATCTTCTAATTTGTAATAGGTACTCACCTCCCTACAGCCCTCTGACGGAATTCTTTTTCTTTTCGAAGTTCTTCTGTTATTTTCTCAATTCTGATTTCCCAAAGTGCCTTAACTGCCGAAAATGAGCCAACACCAACTGCAATTTCTGTTGCAGGTCTTTCGCATTCTGATTCAGCATCAGGTTTCATTTTTCAGCATTGCTATTCCTTACAGACCATCATGTATATAAGAATGGAAAACCAGAAGAGATTTTCAAGTGTCTTATATCCTTAATTGTAACTGACCTCCAACAGAGGCTACTCTAACAAAAAGATAGGAGATCCATTAACCTTTGTGAGCTTCTACATACAAGCAGCAAGAGATCAATTTTGTGGATTGGACAGAAGCCAACAATCATGCAATTAACACATTGATCATGAACTGCCCCTCCTCTTCAAAGTACAATCCCAAGATCAGCTGCAACACGACATCCAGCCCAATCTGCAGGCCTGCAAACCACTTGCCGGTGCCTTCCCCTCCAGACATTAACCAAAGCATTTTTTAAAAACTTACCAAAACCATTCTCAGTTTTCCCATGGCTCACTCTTTTCTCCCAAATAGAAATCCATCATGAATCTTGCCTGGATTGCTGAAGCCATTTACAGCCCTCCCACCATCTACGACAAAGTGTAATGTAATGCCAGCCAAGTTCTAATTTTAACTGATGACATTAGCTGGGAATATGAAGTTTTGCTGTGACTGACCTCCACAGCTCTCTAATATATTTGCTCATTTTGAATACATTTCTACTGTTCGGTACTTGCCATTATATTTTAGGAACTCATGAGCACTCAGCTGCTCTGCACAAAGGACATTCTTTTTCTATATTTACTATAATGTCACTAGGGCTATAATTAGAGGCATGCACGCGGAATTTGGTATGCTAGAAGTGCCATTCGGGGAACAGAGCAGCAGCACTTTTAAAATACTGGGCAATGGGGCATAGCAGGAAACATTCTCAAAGGCATCTAAGGAAAGCTCCCCAATGTTTGCAGCATACTTGATCTGGAGGAAGAAACAGGAATTTTCATATTATCCCAGCTAGTTATAGTCAAACTTCTAAAACAGACCAAATCCATTGCAATGTTATCAATTCAATTCACAACCAGGAACAAGGGTAAGGAACATGGTGCCTGCAAAACTTACCTAATGCTCACAGAGGCACCGAACTCTTCCCAGTTTTTATTTTAAAAGTATTTAATATTTTCTTACAGGCATCTGGGGTTGCTTCAAAGCGGTGCCATCATGTTTCCCATTAATCCTTCGTTTAATCCTATTAATCCTGAGCCATGCTCAGCCATGGCAACCATTTTATAGTTGCACCCAGAACAGTTTCTCAAATATGCCCATAGATCATGATCACATACCTGTGACTACAGCACTCTCACCTCTGGATGCCACCACTCTATTGGGCCCGCTTAATAGAGCAACTATCTCCAGAACTCCAAAGGTGTTTACCTCTGACAAAACACAATTAGAGCAAGCCTGTTTTCTAGGAATGGGCAGGCACTGAAACCCTAACTCAAGGGCTTTCTCACTTAGGGCCAAGTCCATGCAATACAATTAGTTCACATGTAAACACATTGCTAAAAAGTCCCAACAGAGTTGCAGAAAACACTTAATTTAAATCAAGGGTGTGCAAATGAATTCGGGGGGGGGGGCATATGATCAGTACCATGGCCCATATCCAGGTATGTAGATTTAAGTTCTTGGAGGATGGAAAACCACCTAATGCCCCCAAATGAAATTCTAAAACCACAGAGGTTGTAAGAAAACAAGATTTATTAAAGAATAGAACATAATAAGAAATGTTAAGATAGAATACCTTTTTAAAAAATCAGAAAGGGCGAATATAAAGTTCCACATGGATGGATCTACAGGAGATACTAATATTATTTCACAACTGTCCCTGCACTCCCACCCCTGCTACTCGGAGTAAATCTGGGAAGAGGTCTCCAGTTTGAGGTTTTTAACCTCAACCTTCTTTTCACAGATAATAGGTTAGAAAGGTGCATTGCTGCTGTTTTTAAGCCACTTAAGAGTTCATTTAGATTATTAGCCAATAAACCTTCAAATACAGGGAATAATTTAAACATGAACATTTTGAATGCACAACAGTACTTGAATTTGAGCACTTTGTTCGTATGATTTCAATCAAGCATGCTCATTTATGAGGGATAGTTTTAAGCTTGCTAAGGAGCCATGTATTCATGAGTTGTCTTGGAGACTTTTCTTCCATCTAAGGGTTCACCTACTTTAGGGTCAATCCATAGAATATATTTAAAGTGCAATATTATGCATATTTAGACAGGAAAAAAGCCCTATAATTCCCAGAATGCCCTAACCAGCCATGCCAGCTTGAGAATGCTGTGGAGTTGTAGGCGTTTGTTTTGTCTAAACACACATAGGATTTATCCATGATCCATCCATGAGCACACAGAAAAATGGACTGTACATCCCAATGGTGGTATAGGAAATCTTTGACTGAAACCAGTCAATTTGTTTTGAATTCACTGACTTGTCTGGCAATATATCTGAATTCGTGATTTGCCTTTCTACTGTTGTATATAAGGCAAGGATGCCTTTACTTTCCTTGTGCACTTTCCCAGTTGCCTTTTCAGCCATAGCCGTGAATTAATGTAGACAAACATAACGCATGAACTGGTTATCAGCAAACTTCATGATTGTGGTGGCTGAAAAAAAATCTACTATGATCATATGAATTGATACCAGCTATATTTGAGACTGCCTCCTTCACCCATTAAATTCACCCACTGCATTCTGTGAAGATGGAAAAAAGCAAACTGTATCTTTAAAAGCTCTGTTACATTTGTTATATTTTGTACAGAACAGTTAACTACCACATCGCCATAACTGCCCAATAATTGCACCAATACGTGGGATATTTCAGAAATTTATTTTTGAAAGTGCTGTTTTGCAGGGAAAGGAGTGGTTCAGATATGACTCCTCCCTAGTGACATTGTATAAAGTTTGACTTTTACACACTGCTGTTGGATACTTTTAAGATCTTCCCATTAACTGAGAGCCACTTTGCACATTACAGAAGTACCAGATACATGTCTGCATGGCATGTGCACTTGCAGTGTTCCTTATAACATTAGAGAGATTAAAGGTTTATATTCATAAAAATGCATGTACACTGCATATGTAGGGAAAGGGTTTTTAATGTGTTCAAGTCTATTTCAGTGACGAATTGCCCTACGGCAAACTTTATTTTAGGAAGGGTGTTCAAAAAAGAGAGAAGTTAGCACCATTAACCAAGAAAGGGCCATTCTCAAATTATGTGACAAAATAAGCATAAAAGGAATTTTATTTGAACGTTGTAATGCATTAATTGCATTAGAAAGCTGGTAACATCCCTTTATTTTTCCAAAGAGATATTCTTGTTTCAAGAATAAACTTTGACATAATTCATTTTGTGAATAGCGTAAGTAATTAAAAACAAGTCCCAAAGTAACCTTAGCAGCCTTCCTCTGGTAATGTCAGTATAGTGGAATAGAGCTTGCCTCTTCGCTTCTTCACCATGAATTTCCCACCGCCTTACCAAGGAACCATATCATGACCTGTGACAGCCTTCAGTCAAATAAGTTACCACAAAACTACCCAACTAGACAGAATGTAACAGGTAATCAATATATGGGCCAGTGATCAAAAAGCCCTATTTAGCACACGATGCAATTGTGAATTATAAAACGACATTTTTAAGGGCACTTGCTAGCATTGCTAGCTTGATAACTGTTCCAACATTAAAAGTCCATGTCCAGCCATTAGTCTTCTTTATTTAAGATCCAGTAGCATGGCAGCAGGGTTCTCCAAGTATGATTTCCACAAGTTAGAGAAACGGGACATGGTCGCGCCATCGATGACCCTGTGATCAGCTGACCAGCTCACATTCATTATATGCGCTTTATATATTTCACCTTTACTGTTAAATCGAGGAATGACCTAGAAATTCAGGAACAGAAGAATATACCACAAGGAAACTGAGTATGACTGTATGAGAATCCCCTCAAAATGGTTACTTTTGTCTCGGCTGCACAAAAGCCCCTTGACTTTTTCTGAGTCTCTAACTGTGAGAAACTACCCCACACAATTCATGGCATCACAGGCTGTCAGAAGACATTTGGTGGTGAGATATCTTCTAAGGACCTCGAACCAAAGGAGTAGGTAACAAATTGGCAGCTAAGAAAAATGCTAATATTTGAGGTCATAACATTGCAGGCATGTTTTCTCAGAAATAAAGCCAAATCCAACTGAGAAGACTGAGGGGGGACATGATATCCCTCTATAAGTACCTCAAAGGCTGTCACAAAGAGGAAGGTCAAGATCTCTTCTTACTGATGCCAGAATGTAGGACACAGAATAATCAAGTCAAGTTGTGACAACCCAGATTCAGGCTGGACATCAGGAATAGCTTCCTCACTGTCAGAGCAATATGACAGTGGAACCAGCTGCCTAGAGAGGTGGTGGGCTCTCCCACACTAGAGACATTCCAAAAGCAACTGGACAGCCATCTGAGTGGGATGGTGTAACATGGTGTCCTGCAACAGCAGGGGGTTGGACAGGATGGTCTTCATGGCCCCTTTCAACTCTACTATTCTATAATTCTATGATTCGATGAATTAAATAGTACTTACTTCCAGGTAAGCAAGCATAAGGGTGCAGCCTTATTGTATAATCCTATGTATGTGTATCTAGAAAAATCTGTACCAAACACCATGCAAGTAGTGTGTGTTTAGGATTGCATGATCAAATATCTGAAGGCTAATCTTAAATGCTGCAGGTCATCTGGCAATTGGCCACTGGCAATGTCTAGTTGTCTTCCATCATTTTACAGATAAAACAATCTCATAAGCCAAAATAGGACAATCCTGCATGTGAGTGTGGGGTTATGGACAAAGTTCAGCAGCCCAACGGTGCGAGTCAAGCACAGTCTGGACTCAAAGAGGGTTGCCTCCGATAACATCATTAGGGAAGTATCAATACACAATACAACCCCACAGAAAAAAGCCATACCTGCTTCCCTCTTTCCCTCACCAATATTATTTATTTCAGCAGTCTAACTTACATGTTGCCCTCCTATTTTACAACCATAGCAGAAAACACAGCCACATTGTAATTTTCATCTTATACTGACATCTATATATTAAGATTAGGATGAGGCCAAGCACTTTCCCGAATCTTAGCTACTTTGCTGTCCATCTGGCCTTTATTTCTTTGAACAGTCACCAGGCCTAGATGGAATATGTATGTCACTTTATGTTGCCTATCTCTTCCATAAATGTGTTTTTTCCACTCTCCATGTGCTAGGAGAATGACCAAATGGCAAAGTCAACTAAGGACATAATCATATGCACAGAAAAAAGCTCCTACAACTCCCACCAAGCATACTGGCTGAAGAAGGCTGGAAATTGTAGGAGATTTTTCCTGTGTAAACATGCATGGAATTGGGCTATAATTTGCATTTAGTAGTGAAATTTTGCAGAAGCGAAGGAGCTGGGGTGGGGGAACAAAATTTATATATACTATAGTATGTTTTGTACCAACTGATGTTCCAGCCCCAATAATGACTTACTAGATCAGTGATGCAGTTTTGGCAAGACCAGAAAGTAAACTAGACGAAGAATGCAAGTAATTCCTTTGTGATGCTAGACCAGCAATGTAGACTAGGAAAAAAATATTGAGCAAGATAGATGTTCCTCAAATCTCTGCAGCCAAGGCTAAAAATGAGATAGTTGGAAGGTAGGTTATTATGTTGGAAGGTTGGCTATTATATATAACCAAACTTAATGGCCACTTGCTGGGTCATCTACAGCAAGCAGGAATTACCTTCAAATGGACAAGCAGGCAGAAGTGCTTTGGTCAACACATTTTTCTAGATTATTTTCAACCATGATACAAATCCCCTAACCCTTACCCTAACAATACTTTAAAGACAGCCAAGAAGGGGTAATGGCAATGCAACCTTCATTTCAACTGTGAGTGTGTGTTTGGAAAACACAATCAACATACCTGTATCTTTCCAAGTGCCCCGATAGCCACTTCAGGAGGCAGTATTACTGGCTTTGCATACGTGCCACCAATCTAGGGAAAAAAGCAAAGGAACCAGGTATAGCGAACTTGAAAATCAACATGGATTGGATTGTATCTGCATTTTGGAAGCCCTGAAACAAGTGGTAACACTTGTTTCTTGATAGGCACAGTTGAGTGTCCTGCACTTATACACGTTCTACTGAACTGCCTCCTTTCAGAAACGAGCATTTGCACCTGTCTTGGGCTGAGCAGAAGTGTTAAATCACTGCTGCACAATTGAGCTGACAGAAACGCATGGTTGGATTTTGCCCCGTCCACCCTTGCCCACTTGGGTGCAGTCATGCACACAGCAATAACAGAGCTCAATTGAGCTTTCTCTGTGCCCTTGGTTATGTGTGCTCACCACATGTACACAATAGCAGTCCAACCATTAACGGGGGACCTGTATGTACCCCCCATATAGCCTCTGAACTACCTCCTCCCAAAGGGCCAGTCCATGTTCCTGTTCCAATACACCTCCCACAGGGAGACAGTTTATTACCTGGTTCTGTGCAAAAGCAAAGCAAAGCAAAGCAAAGCAAAGCAAAGCAAAGCAAAGCAAAATAATTATTTTGGAGTTAGCTTTTCAGCATTATTAACTCACTGTGCCAATGTTGGAAAGTGTGAATGTTCCCCCGGTGAGGTCATTTGCTCCCAGCTGGTTAGCAGACCCCAAATTTTGTAGGCGGTTTAATTCTGCCGCGATCTCAAACACACTACAGGCCTGAACGTTCTTTACATTAGGGACCACCAAGCCTTGTCCTGTATCCATAGCAATACCAATGTTGTGAGAAGCCTAAAACATATAGTCAGAGATCTTAGCTATTTTGGAAATACTAATTTTTATAAAACTACTATCTCAATGCAAGATAAAGAACTACATATTCAAAGCAATCTTGTCATACATGTACATTATCTTAAAACTTATTGTTCTAAAAATTAATAATATGCACAGACCATTTTATATATACTTGTCTGCATGATTTCTGTTATAACTTCTGGTAAAGCAAGTTAATTTCTCAAATTATCTTAAGCATATTAGAAATATGTTGGCTTGATTCAAATTCAATAACATTCCTATAACTGTCAACTTATTAAATTTTTGTCACTTTTCCACTAAAAATAAATGTTCATGTTTAATAAATTTATAAATCTTAGATAAAATAAAACATTATAAACAAAAAACCCCAGATCAATTAAAGCAAAGCATTATGCATCAAACAGAACAATTAAAAATGCAGTTAAAACGCTTCAACCACTGAGTTGCTGTTCAGTCACAAAACAGCTGAAAAGCCAACTGTCTGAATAAAATATATATTTGACTGTCAGTAAAAGAACATAAATGATGGCACCTCATTGGTCTCTCTTGGCAAGGAGTTCTAAATCAAGGGAGCAGTGATTTGCATCATGATTAATGGTTCTGAAAGCTGCTGAGAGATCTAGCAAATTGTCACTTGGGCACTTTGAAAGGGCTGTCAAGTGGCTGTCAAAACAGGGATTACAAACCTGGCTGTCAAGTCAGAAACTGTGATCCTTGAGCAGGGATAAAGGCAAAGGGGGAACTAGCTCCAGCAAGCCAAGAATAGCTCACCACCATGGTGGGAAAAGCAGCCAGCCAGTGACAAGCGGCAAGATTTGCTGTTCTTGCCAAGCAACTTTCTTTTCCCTTCACCAGTGACTGGGATGGCTGCCTGAGCTTGGACAGAACACCAATTCATTACGGTAAAACAACTCCAAGTACAAACAGTGGCTTTTCAGGATAATTTATAACCCATAATAAGCCAACCTGGGGGAAGGGATCCAGGATCACATAACACACTAATTTATCATGGCTTCTAAGCCATGGAGGTGTATTGTGTGGTGCAAACACAGTCACTTGTGGGCAGCTTACTTTATGACCAGGGGCCCATTGCTCTTTCTCAGCTTAATCTACCTTGCAGATAGACTGGGGCACCAGAGTGGGAAGGAGAACTCTGTACGTTGTGCCCTGATCTGTTGGAAAAACGGCAAGATGCTTAAGTCCTTAAAACACACGTTAGTTAGCAAACTTCCTGTCTGCAAAAGAAATACAGACCTCCTCTTATTATTTAATAACCATAAAACCTAAATATAGCTGGAACTTGCTGGAAGCTGAAGTTGTAACAGGAATAACAGTTGTATGATATACAAACCTTGTATGTAATGTTTTCACAGTTTTCATCCACAGAAGCATTGAGTAAAGGGTAATGTAATAACCCTAATGAAGCGGCCTGTTAAATATAAAACAAAACACACACAAGTAGGAAGAAACATGCTTCAAGTCTGTTGTTATCTATATTTATTTAGACAAATTTGTTTAAAGTTTTTTTTATACAAATAGATGTGCTTAGAAACAGAATGTGTAGTGGGCCATATCTAACCATCTGCTAATGCAGGTTTTCTTTTTGTCCACAGAAGGCTTTTGATTGAGCAGAAAGATCTCACTAGCTGAAGAGAGGGGGTGATTATTTTCAGCTCCTGCAATCCAACCTGCTGGAACCGTTTTCGGAGGCAACAGGAAAAATGAGGTAACTGGTAACCTGTTTCCTTCCACCACCACCAGCAAAGTTGGAATCGAGGCCCTTACTACTATTACTATGCTCTGCTTGTAATTTGTGGAGAAAAAAGAAAGTGAACTATGGACTAAACACTAGGCTTTTCCAGTGTTCCCAAAATATTTTGAAAATCATTAAACACTTTTAAATAAAAAGACTAATTTCCTGTTGCAGAGAAGCCATGATGAAAAACTGAGATTTTTTTCCAGTGTAAAAACTGGAATAAGAAAAACTATCCACAAATTAAAAACTTTACTATATTATGATAGCAATCTCCTTATTTTGCCAGCCAAGTACACTCACTTTAAATTAATCACCTGTCCTTGAAACATTTGCTTATTACTAAAGCCACAGTATGGATAGGCTGGGATATTATTAAAGGTGAGATATGACTTCAGTTTAATAATCTACAGCTATAATCCTTAGTGTGTTTATGTGTAAGACACTACATGATCTCTGTTGTCACCACATAAGAGCAATACTGAATCATGCAAAAGGCCTATTTAGTCTGGCAATCTCTTCACACGGTGGCCAATCACTTCCTTGTGGGAAAGCCACAAGTCACACGAAAGCCACCTGTTCGAGAGTCACCTGTGGTTAAGGGTGTGGGGTTCTGGTTCTAGTCCCCACTTAGCCATGGGGCCAACTGGGTGACTTTGGGCCAGTCTCAAACTCTCTGCCAAACCTATCTCACAGGGTTGTTTTGTGGGGGTAAGACTGAGAGCAAAAGGAGGAGAATTAGGTAAGCTACTCTGAGTTTATAAGAAAAAAGTGGGATATAAAGAAATAAATAAGAAAAGGAGTGCAACACTCCCTCCCACCCATGTTACCAGCATCTGGTATACCCAGGCATACTGCCTCTGATACTAGAAGTACCATATAGCCTTCAGAACTAGTAGCCATTGATCACTATATCCACAATTAATTTTTATAATCCCTTTTTAAAGTCACCCATCACTATATCTTGTGATACTAAATTCCATAAATTAACTAGAGGAGGGGTGGGCCATCTGCACCAGTCCAAACTGCACCAGGCAGTTTGGCCAATGGTCAGGGCTAATGGGAACTGGAGTTTGACAACATCTGAGGAGGCCACAGGTGATCTGACTATATGCTGAGGGGATAAATGTATCCACAAAATCGGCTTGGTGCTTTCTGTGAAAATTGGTTATTCTCCATAGGGCAATGCCACCAAATGTGTCTTCTAGGCTAGAATAAAGCTCTTGCTTGTATACAAGCAAGGCCTGCCACTGACTCACCTTTATAAAGAAGGGCATGAATGAAAGGTTAACTCCCCGTTCTTGGGCTACAGGTTTCAGCTCTCCTCTCAACTGAACGAGTTGTGTGAGATCAACCTCATCACAATAACCAAAGTGAGGAATCTTCAGAGCAGCAGTCATGGTTTTCACCATTGCCTTCTGAAAACCTGGAAATCAGAAAGGGGAGAGTATAGATTTTTTTAAAAACCTTTTCAGTTAGTCCTTTTCTTAAGTCCTGCCTTCTTCTTTCATCTTCCTTTCAAATGATCTGTCCTGGCATCAAAACAACTGAACAATCTAAACCAATTTTCCTCAATCCAGCATCCTCCAAAGTTTAGGACTACAACTTCCAGCATAAGAAAACGTAAGAGAAACTCCAGAATATATGAATAAGAGGAAAGGATTTGGCTGAAGGGGATTTGAATTGACTAGGTTGGCTTCATCAATTGGAAGCATCCAGTATTGTAGTATTAATGAAGCTAAGTGGCTGTAGGCTGGATTGATACTAGCATGGGAGACTTGAGAACCACATGTGACTGTTTTTGTGGCCTGAGGCCACAGTGGAAAGTAGCCATCTCTATGAAAGTAGCCATCTCGACCACCATCTCTCACTAGATCTGGGTGAACATTATTCTGATCTATATTGCTAATTTTATTTAAAAAAATTATGTAGTATGCCCCTCTAGCAGCCTACTAGAATTACAAAAATATTAATTATGAAAGCAGAAACCAACATTTTAATTTTTCTTACCTGATAAGGGCACTGTTTTATCTTTCCCGGTAATTGCTACAGGCTTCGAAATGGAGACAGGAGTTCTCAGTATCTTCTCTTTTGGCATGCCTGCTACAGGTTGCAATTTTGGTGAAGGTGGGGTTATTTCAGGCTTTGGTGAAAGAGGTAAAATGGCTCCTGTCTGCTTGGCCAAGTAATTGAGAATGTCTTCTTTGAGGATCCGGTTATCTTTCCCTGTTCCAACAACTTCACTCAGTTTAATCTGAAAGATACAGAGGAAATCTAGATCTAGAAAAGAAGCAGGGACATGTGATGCTATTGCACATGTGGAAGAGAATGAAGATTAATAGAGTGTCCCGCTCTGTTTTTCCTTCGGACCTTTACCACTACTCACAAAACGAAATCTTTTCTCTTCTTGCTGCCTCCACCAAACCAGTTATAAAAACACTTTCATCTGGTGTGGAGGTTGGCTCTTAGACATGGGTTGGATAACTCAACAAGAAAACAGGCCACAATGTTTCCACCTCGTAGGCAAACACAAAATTTTAACACCATAATATCCCCAAAGCAAGCTATATACAAAAATGAGAGACAGCTTTGTCCCTTCAGAGCGCTTCAAACAGGTCCAAGTTAACAGTCTGAATTCCCAACTCCAGCATTGCAGAATGATTAATACAAAGTAAGTGCAGACCTGTTGCCATTTTTTAAAGCTATGCACTCTCTAATCTAATGTAAATATGTATGAAATAAAACATGGAAGATAAAGTCTGATGTCACCCATCTTATATGCATGACATCATGTTTGATGTGTTTGTTCAAGGTTACCCAGGAAGCCCACAGTGAAAAAGACCCACACAGAACTCTGTTTGGGCTTCTAAAGACACAGCCCAGTGTCCTCTGCTCTCTGAAATATTCCACAAATGAAGAAGGTGCCCATTATAAATCCTAGATCCTAATCATGCAAGCCACACAAGCCTAAGAGTTGCATGCAGGCTTCGGGTATCTCTCCATGCTTGCTTGGGGTGAGCTCTGTGGAGCTTTCAGGTACATGCTAATCAGCAGCAAACCTCCCCACTGCAGATTTTGACTATTATGTACGGATTAGTGGCTGGCGCCTACTGCAAGCCCAGCCCACCACAGGGGAAGCGCAGCTGCCATCAACAAAACTGACTTTCACAGAGTCAAAGCAAACAAAATGCTGGTGTAGAGGAAAGCAACGAGGATCCCAAAATCTACCATGTACCAACACCTTCAACTAGCTTTTCGCAAAATCCGTTACGAAGACATCTTCTGAGGCTCCTATTTGTCCCACCCCCTCAAGGAGGCAGAACAGAGAGCGACAGCAAGATGGCCTGTTGCAGCAGGTAACCAACGCACATTGTTTTCCATGGCAAGGCGGCGAACAGCAGGGGTTGCCAAGGTTTTGTGGCCCTTAATCTCCTGGTGGGTCTGTTCTTCATGTGACACCGCAGGCGTTTCCACAACGTCCTCTTCAGAAGCTACATCTGTGGATTTGACACAATATAAAGAATGTATGTTATATTTTAGAAGGGTGTTACATTATTTATTTAAGCACATCTTAAATGGGACTCTTCATGCATTTACATTAAAATATGTGGGAGATCTGGCTCTTTCACAATCAATGGAGTAGAATAGAGCTGCACTGCAGGGAAGAGGTTCTAACTTGCTGCAGCTAAATTCTATTATAGTACTGAAGCTTTAAAGTGTAAGCTGCCTTGGAAAGTGGTTTAATGTATTTTTAAATGAAATAAAAAGCTAGTGAGAACATCAGGATCTGAAGCAATGGTTTGACCCCAGTTTGTTTGCAACAACTATAATTTAAGACCACAATGCCCCCCAAGTAAGGCATTTTAGTGAACAGTGGTTAGTTTACTATGGAAAGCAGAAGCTTCCAATCTCCTCCTGGCATGTAAAAGGGACTGGGGTGAATATGCAAGCACTAGTCATGTGCATACAAGGAGAAAGAGGAACCCATTAGTCTGAATTCAGTCATGACGCAGAGGTCTATTGTTCAAAGACATAAGAAGGAAAAACCATCTTACTTGGCATGTCTTATTCTATTTTTGGACTATTTGGTGAAGATGAACCCTGTGCAGCTAGGCTTGCTCAGAATTTTCAAATGAGAGTTGATTTAAGATTTTGAAATGGACATTTGCCTATTTAAATAATTTATGGGACTAATACAGATGCCCCCCCTTCCCATGAAGAAAATACCTTTCAAGGTAGCTGTTTCTATATCCACCAGTGGCTTCCCCACATAGGCAATTTCATCTAATTCATAATAGAGTTTTCTAATGATGCCATCGTAACGGCTGGTGATGGTGACAGAAGCTTTATCACTTTGTACTTCACAAATGCTGTCAAACTGTGACACAACATCACCTTCTTTTACATACCTAAGAGGAAGGACAGATGTGCTTAAAGTACATTATGGAAAAGGTTGACACCACTCAGTAAAAATTCCAGGAGTGCTTCCCCATGGCTGCCTTTCCTAGACTGTCATGGCAACCATGACTGGGGTGGCCTCTAGTATAGCCCAGGCCGTATCCCTTCTCACTCACTCAAGCATCCCAAACTGCCAGTGCTGCTTCAGGTTGTGCAAGTGCTTCTGAAAAGCTCATTAATGCACTTTCTGGAGTGTACCAAGTAACAGTTTGGCTAAGTCTGGGCATCCCATCTGGATTATGAAGATCGTGAACTCTTAACCCCTGCTACTGCTAACCTGCAAAGCAGCTCTTTTCATGGCTGGATATGTGACAAGCTGCTCAGACACAAAGACCTTTTATTTATACACAGCTGTGTTCAACACGCCTCTCTTTAATTCTGGCTAATTAGCTGTCCCTTGCTAACCCCAAATAGATTAAGCCTTAATATACAAATTTATTTGTAAGTATTCTTTACCCTGATGTGCACAGAATGCTGCCTTAAGCTGGTATGGAGTGTTAAATCACCTTTGGACATTTCAGGGGACAAGTCCTGCTCCGAATGTCCAGATGGCACTGGATTGGAACAGTGAAGACTACCAGGAAGATCTTAATTACTATAGACTCCAAGGTCTGGAACACTGTGCCTGTCAGGTTAAAGATGTCCTTTTCTTTATGTGTGTAATACAAAGGCTGCAAAACTTACTTTTATTTGATCCAGTGTCATGCTCAATGAGTCCTTATTGGCTATTCATTATTGTGTTCAATATTCATTATTGTGTGGCTTTCTTCTAATTTGTAAGCACTGAAAATAGTTCCACAGGGAAGCTTCCCTGTCCCCTTCTCTGCGATCTTTTCAGACTTTTTTTCTTCACTCAGACTTAGGATCTCATCTAGTCTGCTGAAATCCTGTTCTGTTATATTACTTATACTAAATATGGTACCATATTTAGTATATTACTTAATATACTAAATATTAAATAATATACTAAATAATATTTCGTATAAGTTAAGTAATACGGTATCTTACTTAACTTATACTAAATATGTACACCCCCCTCCAGCCCATAACATTTCCTAAAACAATTTGAAAGATTATTTATTTCCAAACTGGTACTGCATGCATGAAATAATTATATAGATACAGAATAGGCACATATATAGGCATAGATATATTATTATATTTATATTCCAACTTTTTTCCTCTTGCAAAGAAGCTAGGATGGCTTACATAATTCTCATATAAATATACACACATTCACACAAAACATTCCTACAAGACATTTTGTAAGCTGGAGGGGACTGAAAACATTCCTAAATAATCTTCTATATATGATCTATTAATAATTTAGTAGTTTTTATGGCTGTAATCCAAGAGAGTTTACTTCTACATAGTCATGTCTGGGATGGTGCTGAAAAAAATCAATTAATATCAAGAGGACTGATTAAAGAATCATCCTCCCGTCCACCTCCAGAATCTCATTAACAATAGTAATTGACTCCTCCTTTACTCTTACCTGGAATTTGTTTTTTTTCCGATCATCTCAGTAATAAGAAGCTCTTCTGACTGGTGAGTTTCCTTCTCATACCTACACCTTACAAAACTCTAAAATGTTTTTTTCCTTTTCTTCCCATCCCAAATTTTCAGGGAAACAAAAGATTATTGGTTAGGGACTGATTTTCTGTGGAAGGATGCAACTTAACTTACCATTCTTTAACCGTCACCTCTGTAATTCCTTCTCCAATATCCGAGAGCTTGAACTGGACAATTTGGCCATTTGAAACTTTAAAAAAGACAATGAAACAAATGTCAAACAAAAGAGCAGAACCAAAAAACATAGGTAAAATCATGCTCAGGCAGATGGTATTTGATTCTTAGAAAACTGTAACACAGAATAAGTGAATCAGGAAATATACAAAGGTGCTGACTGTCATTCTACAAATGCTTACCTAAATGCCAGGTCCCATTGTGTTCACAGAGGCTTGCTCCCAGGTAAGTGCACACTGGAATGCAGCCTGAGCATAGAGCACCTGCCTTTACCTGAGCACAAAGGGCTACTAAAAACAGGGCCACTGCTGGGGAACATCCTGGTAGGACTCCCAGATCTCTGTGAAGCCATCTGCCTCGCCACACCATCCACAGGCATTTGACAGAATAAAGGCCCTGATGACCTCTGTTGCCCCTAAATCTTCCTGCCTGAATTTAGCTTCTGAACTTGAATGGCTTTCTCTCAATACATAACATTACAAGTAGTGGTATCTTGGGGAACAGAGTCCTTTAAAGAAACACACAGAGAGAGACTTTTGGTACCTAGAACCACCCTTACACAAAACCAACTCATTTTATGAGTAAGTGCTTTCAGTGAATTGAATTTACATCCTAATACGACACACTTTGCCTTTTTAAGGGAAAATAAATGTGGAACCACACAGGAAAGGTCATACCGGACTGTATTTTGTGCATCCCAGCCCTTACATATTTTACTTAGAAGTCAATCCCACTGTGTTTAGTAAATATGCATGGAAATATTGCCCAAGGTTGCAATCTTCTGGACACCTATCTGAGACTACAGCCTACTGGAACCAATTCAGGCAATCCCATCTTACCTCAATAAGTTGAGACATGAATGAACTCAAACAGAACATTTGCCTGAGTCCCTCTTAACAAAGCAAACACACTCAATTTTTTAAAAATCAAACATGAAAGAAACTCACCAACAGCTGTTCTGAACAATCGGTGTTGATGCCGACACCGCCATGCAGACTTGTCAAACCCACAAATGTGTTTTGCCTTTAACAAGCGAATGCTACTGTACAATCTAATATGCCGAACATGGAGCTGGCAAGGGAATCAGAAATTAAAACTTTACAGAGAAGTACTACTGAAATTATCTTTTAATTCACAGAGGCGCTATTATTTATTAGAAAAGGATCTGATTATGACTTGTATTGATCTAATGGTTGATTTGCTTTTTGGCACTTCTGGATGGAGATACCGGCACAACATGTGCTCAATGGAAGTTAATAAAAACAATGCTTAGATGGCTTGGCTCAAAAATTCCAGGTTTTCCCCCAAGTGGCCTCTATACATTTAGCAACTTGAAACCACTAACCCATTCCAGCTCCATTGCTATATATGCATGTTCTTCAGAGGGAACTCAAGGAGAACCTTTCCCCTTCCCTTCAACGTGGGCAAGGCTGACAAAAAGCACATCTACACTCCATTGAGAGAACATGCTCAAGTACTGAAAGGATAACCATGTTGTCTCTCATAAGCCTGTCAAAAGTCCCAAAGAAATCTGTAGAATAACTCATCTAAAATTGACATCAAGATCTGTAGAAATCTGACTTTGAAATGTCAATCTATACAATGTTATTAATTTTGGAAAATAAATCACAATTGATATAATATTGTAATTTATTAAAAATTGCAACAAGAGGATACAACTGATTATTCTTTACGGTAATTTACATAAGGCACAATTTACTTAAAACACTGAGGGATGGGCAGCTGGGTATAATTTGCATGCATGTGCTTATTACTTTCAAAAGAAATTACTGAAATAGAGAATTTAAAAGATTAGGCTGGACTGCTCAACTTGCACAGAGATTCAAAGCAGCAATGAACCCCAGGGGAGATGCTGAATTTTGTCATGGAGACATATTAAGCTCCATTCATCAATTTTGGGATATAGCTGGCAATCTGCATGAGGCATCCATATAGCCTAGTTTTGTTTTGCAGTCACTCAAAAATTAAGAATATCTGTAGAATAAAGTATAGTGCAGCATTTTTCATTTTTAAAACTGCATAACCACCAAAGAGTTATTGTTTTGGACAGCCTCCAAAAGAAGTCATGCTGTCTTAGAACTGCCTTCTCCAACATGGTGCCTTCTGGATGTTTTGGACTTCAACTTTCATCAGCACCACCCAACACTACCAATGATTAGGAATCCTGGGAGCTGGAGTTCAAAAGACCTTGATGGAAGACTGTCTTAGAATCACCAAAATTGATCAAAAAGATGACCAACAAAACAAAAAAACATCTGCTGGGCGCTCTAGTCAAGAAGTATATCTAGTCCTTTAAAATACCTCAAGTGGTTCACATATTAAAAATTAAGAAATGATCTTCTTAGCAGACCCAGAAAACAGGGGACCTGTATGAAAGAGTAGCAATTCCATATTTTAATGTGAAACATTTAAGTTCTTCAAACAAATAAATTTCCAAACTCATCTTTTCCTTCTTATACAAGAAAGCATTGTGGGTGCATGCTAAAGTCTAACTCATTTCAGGCTCCCTTGCTACATTAACAGTCCTAAAGCTCCAATGATCGATTTCAGTAACTCAATAAACTACTGTACACAAAATGGCAGAATCTAAGAAAGACTGGAACACACCAGCCACTGAGGAACATTCTGTTCAAAAGACAGGCATTTTTACACCAACCCATAGGCCACTAGTTTGCTCTACGGGCTTTTAGAATTTGTGGAGCCTCAAGGTTTAAACTGAGACACGGTCTTGGGAGATATTAGGGTATATTCCAGTGTCATGTCAGGTGAACTAAGGAAGTGCAACTGACTGCAGGCTAGATATAAACACTGGACAGCAACCTGGTGTTTATATCACTGCGCATTTTGACTCATTTTGCCATGTCTAACTCACTGACATGTCACATAACCCTAACCTGTCCTCACACTATTCCTGCCATTAGAGCCTGGATTTCTTGAGACTGGTTATATCACAACTTTTTCGTATGTTGCATTGGCTGGTATCCTCTGGCTGAGGAGGACAGAGCTGATGAGGAAGTGTCCTGTCTGGGTTCAGCAAAACTCAGAGATCTTTCGGTGGCCTCCCCACCTCCCTCAACCACAGCTTCTCTCTCCCCCTCCGACTTGCAAATGCAATGCTGCTGTCCACTTCCATCTTTTGGAAAAACAGTTTGCAATAGGCAGGTCCACACATGACAATCCCCTTAGGAGTTTTACCCATGCATTGCAGGTAAAATTCCTATGTGCCTGACAGAGATCACTGTCTTACAGTGGACATCCCTTTCCAACATTCCACTTCAGCACAGACACTGCGTGGAGCCAATATCTATGCTAAATTGGAATGTTGTATCTCACTCATTGCCAAGTATTTGAAAAAAATATTTTTAAATGTGGGAGATGGAAAGTATTCTTTTCAGCAGAAAATTCAGGTTTTGGAGCAGTGTTCCTATGGCCATGGGCTAGTTTCACTTTCTCAAGTCTAGATAATCCAAGGGCACAGTTACAAAAGCTAAAAACCTGCAGAAAGCATGCATGGGGGATGCCTCCTCAATTCTCCCCTCTTCCAGGCAGGATTCACGAGGTTTTGAGGTGTGCTAGGAAGCCCCAACTTTCCACTTGGTGTTGCCATTTACCTGAGTTGATAGCGCTTTGGGAAATAGCAGAATTGGGGGGATTGCCCCATGTTGGGGGTGGTGGAGGACAAAGCTTGCCATTTACCCCTTATGCCCTCTCCAGTCCATGCCAGAGTGCTACCTCTAGGCAGGTCCAGGGGAAAAGTAAATTGCAGGAACATAGGAAGGTGAAAATCAATTCTGTTGCTCCTTCCAATAGCAGTCCTGAATGCTACTACATAGATGTATGTAACAGGACTGTAACGGGGACTGTGCCTGGAAGCATACTTAAATTTTCCCCTTCAAATATTTAAATATTTGAGATGTAAAATAAAATGAGGTACTTTCCTTAGCCTTGTTGTTAATTGTATTTAGTCAATATGCTAAATTAGATCCCAGGGTCGGGGTGGGCAATATGTATCCCTCCAGATAGTTTGGGCTATGACTCCCATCACCTCTAGCCAGCATAGGCAATGGTGAAGAGAGATGAAGGCTACAACATCTAGAGGATGATGGGTGATGCTCATTCCTCCTCCAGAGTGTCAGAACATCCTCTGATGCAAACTGAAAATGTACCCTATACAAAGTAACCTTTTTTGCACTGGAAAAAATTCTAGCACAAATTAAATTTCTGTTATGCTTAGGAAATTTTTCAGAAAAAAATCTAATTCAAAATTTTCCAGAAACCCAATCACTACCTGCCATTTATGGAATTTTATGGTGGATCCAGACAACATATTTTCCCCACCTATGCTTTCCTTCCCATGTTTATCCATTGCTTTTCATCATTTTTTAAGTACGGCAAATCCATCAAAGAGAAAAGATGGAATAGCTGTACTGTATTTTCCATCTCCTAGCACTCAGAGATCCAGAAAGTATCTGCAGAAACATGGCACCTATTGCCTCATCAGCAATACAGGTGGAACTCTGATCTATCCTATGCCCCCCACAAAAGTCAAGGGATCGCATCCCCTGGGGGTTAATAGTTTTCAGTACCCTTTCCCCACTAATATATAATGTATGTGTGTGTAACCATGTGCACTCTCTCTGTATTCTCTCTCTCTCCCTCTCCCTCTCTCACACACACACACTACTGTCATTAAATAGTCCAATAAAAAGTGATTTAACTGATATATTTTGTAGACATTAGGCATCCATTATTTTTTTTCTCTCAAATATTTCAAAATATCTCAAGTCAAATACTCATGGTATATTGAAGCAAAAAGTTAACATGGGGTACTTCACTTTTGTTTAAATACAAATAAAATAACCATACTAAATGTGATCACTCTATAAGATATTGGAACATTTTCTAATGCAAACTGAAATTCTTCCAATGCAAATCACCCCAGATTTGAATTGGAAATGTCTCTTTTGCAAATTAATCTAAATTTACATACAGAAAGTTGTGCAAGTTACTCTGATTTGTATAAGGAAAATTTCCAATTCAAGCCTTTCCCAAAAAAAAAAAAAAAAAAACCACTGTAAAGAGCACTTAAGTGAAGGGAATTTAGAAGTTTACAAAGCCAAAGAGCACTCAAAAACTCTAATACTGTACATGCAGGATTAAATCATACAACTGTTCATTCACTAGCAGCCCTTGGGTTTGTGCTCAGAATCAACAACACAGATTAGAACCATACATTTGAAGGGCAGAAGAAATCTAGCTTTTTACTACCACTACTGCAATCTAGGCAGTATGAATAAGGCATAGGTCATCTGTATTAAACTAACATAATCTTGTGGTACCTTCATGACATGTATTATGGCATAAATTTTTGGATTAAGTGACCTTGATTATTAGGTGGTCTTGTGAACTTGCCATATGCAACTGAAAAAGAAGTGAACCCAGGATCACACCAAGACCCAAATAGTCCAGCATTTTGTTTCCACAAACAGCTTATGGAAGTCCATAAGCAGTAAACAAAAGTGTTGGCCATCCGCCGCTGTTTGTCCCTGGCATCTGATATCTATGTGTATTTTGCCTCTGCACATGGAAGGACTGGCAACCAGGTGCTCTCCAGATATTTGGAACTACAATTCCCATCAGTACCAACTAATGTAGCCAATATGGGAAGAACTATGGGAAGCCCAAGTCGCCTGCTCCTTGCAGTCAGGAATTTACCCACTTCGTGTTAATGTCATTTCCAAGCATACCTGCATGGCAACCTAACCTTTATAATGGGAGGCTCTAGAAATGAGAGAGTCACAATCTTCGACTTACACCTACAGCAGGAGTAGACTATAAGGTGTTACAGGCTGGTTAAGTTTGGAGAGGAGGCTGAGTCAGGATGGGCACGAGAATTGTCACTGCAGTTCCCCTTTGTGGGTGAAAGTGATTCAGTTGCCATTTGGGGTTGGATTCCTATAACCCGTCTGGAGCCCCTCACCGTTGGATAGGCAATTAATGCACAGATGCAGACACCAGGCGACTTCCCCCCCAAGCAGGTCGCCCCCTTCTAAAGAGGAGGGGAGTAAACAGGATCCCCGAGGCCACGAAAACTGCAGGGCAGCTGCTCTTCCTACCCCCACCAATTTCTCAGGCTTTTGCCTCTGCACGCCGCTCCCTGCTGCCTTACCAGGGGCCCCGCAGCCCTGTAACAGCTCCTCAACGCGATCGCTGCCGCCATCTTATTCCGGAAAAAAAAATCCGCCCCCCCGTTCTCGCCTCTACACCCCTCCCACCCATCAGCCAATCGCAACGGATCATTTGTACAGTATCCAATTAAACGGTGGGAAGCGGCCCCCTCCTCTTTGCTCCAATGAATGGTCAAAAGAAGGAAGTGCTGGTCGGGCGGTCGGGAAGAGGTACGGCGGCGCGGTGGCGGCGACGGCGACGACAAAGAGTGCAAGCAACGACAAAGAGTGCAAGCACTCGAGTGCTACAGAGCTCTTAAAAAGCACGCCGCTCTGATAATCCCAAGAAGCACAAGCTTGCGTCCTTGACAGAAAAGAAAGAAACAGGACGGTGCCATAGCCAATTAAAGCCTTCCAAACCCTGGTGCTCGCCAAAGTCCATGGCATCTCTCCACTGGCCATGCTGACAGGTTGATGAGAGATGTAGTCCAGAATATCTGGAGGGAACCCGGGTTGCTGAAGGCGCAGCCTAAGTTGCATGCTGTGGCTTGAATGTTCAAAGCTTCAGGGGGCTACATCTTTATTTTTGTGTAACTGATTGGCAAACTTGAACTGGAATGCACAGCCTAATCAAAAGCAGATTCAAAGCAATATGTTTTATGAAGCTAAATGTTCTGTATTCTTATTCTTTAGAAAAGCAATGTTGGCACAGTGAATATTCTTAACAGATCTTGTGCAGGCCGGATGGAAAGAAACTGGGCAACAAGGAAAGCAAAGACTTTGTGAGGAAATTGTCTTCAGGTTGTTCACAGTCACACACAAAGAAAAACACTGGCTGTGATGCCTGTGGTTGATGTGACTTGTAGTCCAACATACCTTGAGGGCCCCAGGTTAGGGAAAGCTGAGGTAGGGTGATGCCAGCTTGCCATGTGGCTTTCTCTTTACAAGTGTTCCCAAAGGTGGTGCTACTAAGGCAAGGATGGGTGAGCCATGACCCTCCAGATGATCTAAAACTGCAAATCCCATAATGCCTGACCACTGGCTATGTTAGCTAGAGCTGATGGGAATTGCAGACCAACAACATCTGGCCAGCCTCAAGTCGCCCACTCCTGCTCAAGCCAGTGAATGGAGGGAGAGGCGGCAATGTAAGCTCAGTCTGAACATCTGTATGAAGTCCATGCATGTATAAATGCAAGCACAGAGAACCGCACACGTGTCTGCACAACCGGGAACCCTGCATTTCCAGGGTTCTCTTCTGCCTGGAGAAGCCTGGAGTTAACCATGTTGATCAGACATCCTTTCCTCACAAATGTGAGGTGAGGGAGGGGCCAACTGACCCCTGCAGCTGCACATACTGTCTTCACTGCACTGGCTTAAGGACTGTCTGTTGTGAACATAAAATGGCGGGGGGGGGGGGTGGAGGAGACCCACCCACGCCACCTTGAATTCCTTCAAGGAATGGAAAGACTATATGGATGTAAACCTATGCCCACTGAGACAGGAAAAAAGTCCTACAGCTCTCAATATTCTTCGCCCGGCCATGTAACTTTTTTCCAGCCTAAAAATGCATAGGATTGCACACTAGATGCAATCACTAAATGACAGACCGATCTTATGCATGCTTACTCAGAAATAAGTAGGATTTCTTTGTTCTGTCTAAACGTGCATAGGACTGCGGTTTAAGTGTAATCAGTAAATAACAAAGCAGTCGTAGGCATACCTGCTCAACTGAGTTCAGGGGCCCCTATTTCCAAACGTACACAGGACTGCCCCCTGAAATCAAAAAAGTTGTAACACTCACAAAAAGGGTCATCCCTGTGATATGGAGTTGTTCATTTGCAAGTCTAAGGAATAAGAAAATTGCTTTTTTTTCCTCTGAACTAAAAAAATTGCTTTCCAAGGTAAGAAAGAATCCCTTTCCTTGAAAAGCCTTAGGAGGCAGATTTTTAAAGTCGGTGTACCAGCAGGTGGTGCAAACGAGGCGTTCCCGACTCAGAGGAAGAAGCACCGCTCCAGTCCGGCCTGCTCTGCGCCTGCTCAGTCTGCCTTCCCGAGGCCCGGCAGCAGAACAGAGACAAAAGTGCTTTCCAGCCCTGCTGCTTCCCAGCCTGCGCACTTGCCTCCTGCCGCGTGTGTCTCCTTCCCGGCCTGGGGCAGCGGCGGATCTGTCGGACGTTCCTCGCTCTCCGCAGGGCCCAGGCGCCGGCTGTTCCGCGGCGGGCCATCATGGGCGACGGAGACCGGGTGGAGATAGATGGTGGCATTATGGAAGGGGTGAGCCGGGAGGAGAGGAAGGGAGAGAGGGCGGCTCACGGCTGCGGTCCGCTTGGACCAGCGGGGTCTGCGGGGGGTGCAATCGCGTGCAAGGAGGGTCTGAATGAAAGGAAGTGGGGCGGATGCTACCGAAGAGGCTCCCCGGATGCGAGAGAGAGGTGGCCAGGGAGATCAGAGTTGCATTCTTGGCGATCAGGACTCGCAGGGGACCTCCCTTCTTTAGACTCGGCTCCCCAACGAGAGTACTAACGCTTCTAGTTTCTCCCCCACCCCACTCCCCACCGGGTACATCGCAGTGCAACCCTATATGTGCTCAGTGGGACTTATTCCAAGGGGCATGAGTGTAAGATGGTAGCGTTGGTGGCCTTTCTCACAGGGCTGCTTTGAAAGCACATGCCTGGGAGACGTTGCAAAGCAGAGCTCTTCGAGATCAAATTGAGGCTGCCTAGATTATCGTAGCCATGCTGCTGGGTCAGTATGCAAAAGAGCAGGCTGCAGAAGGGCATTTTAATTTCTTGAAAGAAAAGTGGAAGGGGAGCCTGGAACCAGCCTGGAAACTGGCCACTGCCAGCCCAAGACATTTTGTGGCCAGTAATACCTTTGAACAGCTGGTTAGCAAGAGAGTGCAGGAGATGCTGTATCCACAAGGGGAGTACAAGAAAAACTGCATTTTCTCTCTGACATGTAAGTTGCAGCTGCAGCATTAGCTGCCTGAAGTGATTGCCAGTCTCTGGTGTTTCCAGAGGGCTCCTGACAGGTAGAAAGCAATTATGTAGCTTTTTCATTGTATTCCTAAAGGATTTTCCATGGTAAGAAAAAAGATGGAAGAACTGGTGAGAAAACATGGACTTATGAGTGGGGAAAGGATGTCAACAAGACAGACTAGAAAGATGTCAGTACAACTCCATGAAGGAGGCAGGGTGATGGCACAATGAAAGCCTTGTCTGCAGGCATCCCATGTTACGTGCTCTGGAACCCGCACTCCTTTAACTATAAGTTGGGACACCCAGGGGGTGCTTGATGAGAAAAGAAAGGCAGTGCTCACGACCCCAAATAATATTTTGTTACTATCATGCCTAACATGAGAAATATATTACAAGAATGAACTTGGCACAAGTTAAGGCCTGGATAGATCTTCCGGTCCCCAGCAAGACCTAATATTCATACTGATCCTCTGTTTTTCTTACAGGGTGGCCAGATCCTGCGAGTTTCCACAGCGCTAAGTTGCCTTCTTGGTATACCTTTGTGTGTGAAAAATATCCGAGCTGGCAGGAGTCAGCCTGGCCTTAGGTAACACCTGGTGAACTATTGTGAAAGCAAGCTCACCAAATGAAATTAATCTTGGGGGTTGGGGGGGGGGACTGTGAAGAGCTACTTACACCGACCTTGTAAATAAGCTCATGAAAGGCACTGGCTTGCACATATTTTTATCAGGCTTCTGGCCATGGAAAAAGCTTCCCTTTGGTAGCAATTTGTTTGGATTCTATGTCAGGCACAGAAGAGTAAAGGAATTCCTTTTCATTATAGTGAACATGCTAGTGCTTAACACCAAGAACTTTGCTAGTTTTGTTGGCACCTCAAAAATGAAATGTATCCAGACGCAGGTATTTATGGACTATAATCCACTTCTTCAGATGTGTGAAGTATTATGGAGAGTTTCAAATACTTTGAACTGTTCATGTTGGGGAACAGTTGGGGAGGAAAGCTCAGCAATGAGGTCCGAAGGAGATTCAATGCAGAAAGCGCTGATGGTGGCAATCCCATTATGAATATCAGTCCCTTACACTGAACCTGTTGCTAAAAGCCCTGCCTGCCCTAGGAAAGCCATCATGTGATAAAAATCTAAAATCCTGATTCAAGCCTCTGGTGATAAAATTAAACCTCTCGGTGTATTCTGAGAAATGGCAATAATCAGAAATGATTGGTGTGCTAAATGATTGGCAGTGACTTTCCAGGGTTTCAGACAGGAGTCCTTCCTAATTCTATCTGGAATTGCTAGGAATTGAAGCCGAGACCTTCTGCATGCTGATTTCACCTCCGATGCAGCGGGTACAAATAGGTGAGCATCCTTTTTAATGCATGTGTAATGGCTGTGCTTGTATCCTAATGTGGTTATCTTGTCTTGAAGGCCTCAGCATCTGTCAGGACTGGAAATGGTTCGAGCCTTGTGTGATGGCCAGTTGGAAGGTGGACAGATCGGATCCACAGAAATTACTTTCACGCCTGGGCAGATCAAGGGGGGAACCCACACAGCAGACACCAAAACAGCCGGGTATGTTCTTGTGTATTTGTTGGTGCTACTGTTGCATCAACGATTGCTCCAGTGCTGTAGAGAAACTGACTAACATTATCAAAGGATGAAAGAAAGGGGATTAAATATTGAAATGGCAGAGATGATAATTTCCTTCAAAAACAATGAAAGTTGCAAGGGCATTTCTGAAGTCAGCCGTGCATTAGTAGTCAGGTGTTTTAGTAGATCTGCACATGGGGATAGAGCATTGTTTGTTTTTTTAATCCTTTTGCAAAGGACATTTCTATCCTGTGTGCCTGTTGGTTAGAAAATAAGATTTGGGAGATCTTAATAAGAAACAGCAGTGCCCTGCTAGCTAAGGGGGACGTGATGTCTGAAAAATAGATATCTGGAAAAAGAAATGTGTTTGCACAAGCATGTACCCTGCCTGAATTGGTCTGACTTGCAACAGTTATTCATGCCTTGATTACATCGCATTCAGAAGATTGCACTTCACTTTATGTGGTGAAAAATATCTAGAAGCTTCACAAGTTTAAAATGTGGCAGCTAAGCATTGCTCAAAAGAGGGAGCACCTTGCGCCTGCACCAGGGGCCAGTTGCCTTTCTCCTTTAAGCATTCTGGGAGCCTTGAGGATGAGCCAGCAACAAGATGCTGCCAAGACAGGCTGCTGCTAGATGACTTCATGGGTTGCTCTGCAACGCAGAAGCATAGAAACTGCTGCTGGGGATGGTGCCAAGAGCTGTGTCTTGCAGCTCCTGTGAGGTTCGTTCCCTGCTTGGAGCTTCATGAGAGCAGGATTGCAACAGACGGCTGGGATCTTTAACTGGCAACTGAGTATGATACTTCGGCTCTGGTGTATTTGTTCTTGTGTTGTTGTTGGACCCATCATGACCCTATGGACAACATTCCTCCAGGCCTTCCTGTCCTCCACCATCCCTCGGAGTCCACCCAAGCCCATACCCACTGCCCCAGTGACCCCGTCCAGCCACCTCATCCTCTGCTGTCCCCTTAACCTTTTGCCGTCAATCGTTCTCAGCATCAGGGTCTTCTCCAATGAATATTTATTTTTATAGCAAATAACAAAAAATGAGACAGTTACTAATTGCTAGCTTTTCTTGCTAGTAATAAGCAGTAGGTTTACCGTGCAATCGATTAGGACAGGAAAAATGTCCTGGAACATGGACTTGCGAAGAAATGCTGGGAATTGTAGGATTTGCAACTTTTTTGTGTAAAAATGCATAGGATTACACCCCTTAATTAATTAATTGGTTAATAATTTTTAACTTTTTCAGTATTTTGAAAAGACAGTATGCTGACACTTTGGTAATATGCAAACATATTTGAACATAATGAATTCAATTGCTTAAAAGATGTGATTAATTGATGAAAATTCAACTAAATAAGTTAATTTGTTGACAACCCTAATAAAATGCAAGTGGTACTAGACATTTGCTCATGAGAAGAGCTACTGAGAATCCATGTTGTTCAGGTTCAGATCCTCCCTGTGCAATGAAGCTCAAGGGTAACCTGGAGCCAGTCACCATTTCTCCACGTAATCTACGTCGCAGGATTGTTGTGAGAATAAAAGGGGTGGGGGAGAACCATACATGTTCCCTTTTGCTCTGTGGATGAAAAAAGTAAGAATAACATAAATAGCATTCTGCTGGTGTCTGATTCTTCCTGTAGGAGTGTTTGCCTGTTGATGCAGGTAGCGATGCCCTGTGTGCTTTTTGCGGCCTCTCCTTCTGAACTTCATTTGAAAGGTGGCACCAATGCAGAGATGGCTCCCCAGATTGACTATACCCTCATGGTATGGGAATGCTTGTTTGCTAAAGTTGAACTTTTGGTCTTGCAACTCAAGTGAGCTGTTGTTTTGTGGTTGTTGCTGAACAATTGTGAAACCATGCTTGAGCAAGAAAGCTACTTTTGAAATAGATTACTATGAAATGGTTCAAAAAACAAAGACTACATACTTCTACAGAAGTTATTAATCTTCAAATATTTGTATTAGTTCACCTGCCTGAGCATTGTGGCAAGCCATTGGCAAAAAAAATGGAGGGTGGGGGAAGAAAGTTTCCCAAAAATTTCTCTGCCGGGATCCCATAAATAACTTGGGAGTACCTGATGCTGCAGCAGTGCTAAAGGAAGCCAATGTGGGCCTGGGACTAATAATAAATATTATAGTATTATAATAAATACTTCCCCCTTTGCCCATTTGGAAACAATTCTCACTCACCACAGGTGACCAGGTGAAGATGTACTTTACTAACCTGTATTTGTTTCTTGAAACCATTCAGTAAATGCTACAAATGCTTTTCTATTGACATGAATGGGATTGTTTAGCTAACTGCATACATCTGTCTTCAGAACTGTTGTCCTTTGTAAGTCACAGTTACACTCCAGTTCATGTTTTGTGCTTGTATTGGTCTTTTATTTTTAAATGTTATTTATTTATGAAAAGCTTTTATAAACTGTCCAGTACAAGTGTCTTGAGATGGTTTACAAATGCTGAAATACTGAAGTATCCTCAAAGTTTAAAAGTTCTGCTTATTATTTGACAAATGTGAGTGAGGTCAAAGAAAAATGGTCACTCTTTAAAAAATAACATAAAATTACAGATTGCAAAAGGAGCAATCCTATTTTGGTTGAATGGTTTTATTTGTATTTAGTTTTTACTTGGTAATTGGTTTATCTAGCATTGCCCAAATGGGAGAAAAAAACAAGTTGGGTGGTTATAATTCTGCCTGAAAAGCTGTAGAATGGCATTCCTTCCCCTCTTTGATCACTGTTGCTAGGATATTTGGCATATTACCTCAGTTCTGACAAAATGGCAACCATGCAGAGTCTTTGGACCACACAGTCCCCCCTCCCCTTCCTTCATGCACGAGTAACAGAAGTTTCTGCACAAAGCTGGTTTGCACAAGCCATAGTTTGTCTTCTACCCAGGATTGCAATCCTGGTTTGGGAACCTAGTATGAAGGTAGACTATAGTTGGTGAAAATTAAAGTTTTCTGCAGTTGGGCAAATAGAAGTGGGAGCCTCAATCTCATGCTGTATCCTCACACAAAGGGAAAAAGAAGGAATGGGGAAGATAAATCCAAGACTTTTGAATTGAACCTCCGTCTGCCAAATAAGACATTTTTGTCCATTCCACTGACAGAAAAGGATGTTTTACCCACTAAAAGAACACATCTGTGTTTTTCAGCAAATCTATTTACTCTCCAGGTCTTCAAACCGATGATTGAGAAGTTCAAGTTGACGCTGGAATGCAATATAAAAAGAAGGTAAGGGAAGCCATATGAATGCACAGTTCTGTGTCTTTTCTGAAGACAGCAAGCTAGGTTTGGTGAACTTGCATGGCAAATGGTGGAAGACAAAAAGGCAGCATGGTGGGTGGGCATTCTTTATGTGTGGTGTGGGTCAATCGTGATAGCAAATGGTAGTGTAGTTCAAGTGTAGGCAATGTGGTGGCCACAACACCAGTGCACCTCTGAACATACTTCTTGTTGCCCACAGAACTGTGTGTGTCTCTGGAGGTAAGAAAGTGTCTATGGCCAATGAGCTAGGCTGAGAGAGAGTACGGGTGACAATTCCAGGTGTGTTTGCTGGCAGGGGGCAGGAGAAGACCTCTTCTTCTGTGAATAGGTTTCTTCAGGCGTGGAAAAATGTGGATTCAGAGGAACTACTTACTGTGTTGGGGCTTGGAGCTCACACCCACCTTGTATGCAGTCTTTGGGACTGGTCACTTGTCCTTCCTGACTAGCCACACCTTCATCAGCCTTTAAGGTGGCACCCAGGACAGTTTCTCCAGTTGCTAGATTGGCCCACCAGTCCCCAAAGGTTACCTACCATTGGCATAGTTTACACCAAAATGTCTCCGTTCTCATTTTCCAGTGCAGCCTCAAAGAAGGCAATTTCATTTCGGTTTCTAATGAAAACATTTCAGTGTTGTATCTGAACCTAAACTAGTCATTCCCAATCTTGGGTCCCCGGATGTCGTGAACCACAACTGCCATTTTCCCAAACCAGCATGGCAAATGATGGGCCTTGTAAGCCAACAAAACCTTGGGATCCAAGGTTAGGAAAGCCTGTCTTACAAAGCCTGTCTTAAACAGTGGTTAGTTTTTACTATGGGTGAGTAATGAGCAACCTCAAACACACACAAACATACCTGGACAATACCAGGCAGGAGAAGGATGATTTCGTCCAGTACTTCAGGAATGGTGAATCAGACATCCCTGGGAAGACCAAAAGTAGAACAAGACAGCTGTTCTTTGCAGGAGGAGGGGCAGAGAACAAGGGGTATTTATTGTAATACCAGCGAACATTCTGCACAATGCAGGTGTTAGAGTCATACTGCAAGCCCAATTGAAAGAAAATGTTTCTGTCCTATCTGACAGTTGACGCTGAAGAACGCTGACCAGTTGAAATCATTCGGCATACATGAATGTTAGACTCCACTGTTGTTTTGTAATTTGACGCTGTAACACAGAAGGATAAAGAACATTTTAGCCTGTCCTTACAATGCATGTTTGTATTTTTTAACACCTGCTTTGAAAACACATTTTAACTGCACCTTTTGCTGTGTTTTATAACATTTTAGAAATGTTTTACAGTGTTTTACAGACTGGATTACTACTTTTTAATTTACTGTCTGCTGTGCAATTTTAAGTCACGCTTTATTGACACTTTAACCGTGTCCTTAGACTTCTGTGATTTGTGTGTAGGATTTGCAGTGTGTCCTGATCTCTCACTGAAAATGTTACCTGGTCCAATTTCTGTGTCCTAATAGGGGTTACTACCCCAGGGGCGGTGGTGAAGTGATCGTCGGAATGGCCCCCGTCAAACAGCTTAGTCCAATTGATTTAACTGATCGTGGCACCGTGACCAAGATACATGGGAGAGCCTTTGTCGCTGGAACTTTGCCAGTCAAAGTAAGCATGTTTGAATAGCTTGGGGGTAAAGTCCTGCATGGTGCTTTGGATCCAAGTTTAGCCAGGCATAGGCTAGGCCAGTGGCGGCGAACCTATGGCACACGTGGGCACACAGCCCTCTCTGTCGCCCCAGCATCGCCCCAGCAGCTGAGCATCGGATAACAGCGCACACAGGGGCCATGCGCATGCTTGGAAAGGAGTAGCAGCACCAGGTGATGACATCACAAGCTGTGACTCATTAGCCACGACTCGTCCAAGCTTTTGCATGGCTGGTCAGTGCGCTGCCAAGGATATATTTATATTTGCTTGGACTGGCTGTGAGTTGTTTTTTCTAAACTAAAACCTCAGTATTCAGGTTTTATTGCAGTGCTGGCACTTTGTGATGAATAAGTGGGTTTTGGGTTGCAGTTTGTGCACTTGGTCTCTAAAAGGTTCACTATCACTGGGCTAGGCCTATGGGAATCAGTGGGACAAATTAGTCTTGACAGAGTTACAGTTACAGAGGGAGTCTGAGAGAATTTGCTGCCTGAGGCAAAGAGCAAGATGGCGGCACCACAGCCACCTTCCAGTCCATGGTCAGAGGCCAACTGTATGAGATCCATGATAAATCAGGTGACTTATTATCCTGACAAGTAGTAAAAATAATTTTATCACACATTGGGCTTGATCAAAATGGCCTATAAAAAGAAGAGTTCATGTTGTTTGCAGAAGACCTTCTGCCTTCCTGCTAAGACCTTACACTAGAGAAAGAGAAGGTGATTTTCAATTTTTTCCTCTGTACCCCAGCACCACCTCCCATGTTGTTCCAGAAGGTTCCACAACTTTCCAGAGCAGCTTTTCAGGGGCTTGTGGGGAAGGAGGACTTGGCAAAACTGGGATCTTTCTCTTCCTCCAGAAGGATCATCCAGTAAGCAGAATTCCAGTCACAGGAAGTCAGGGCCCAGTCCGTCATGTGCAGATGTTCCATAAAATGGTTATCTCTCTGTCCTGCTTTTCTCTGTTAGATTATCAGTATACAAAGGAAGCCTCTTGTGTCAAGGATTTAATGTAACTGCTGTCTCCATTTTGTTCTGTCAGTTAGCAAATGACATGGCTGCGGCGGCAGTACGTTGCATCAGAAAGGAGATTCGGGATCTCAGTGTCAACATCCAGGCCGTTCGAGAACCTGATAATGAGGCCTTTGGAAATGGAAGTGGAATCATGTGAGTAGGTTCAAATTGCAGGGTTGGGCATCCCAGTTCACAGCCCAGTTAAGCCAAAGTGTTTAGTTTTGAGCTGATACAGCCCAACTGGTGTCCTGTTTTTAGGGTTGAGAATTTGGATTCCATCCAATGTAGCCAGTCTGCAAGTCAGGCTGATCTCATAATGCACTGTATGTACTTTGGGAATGGGTCGGGTGATGTGTATGCAGCACTTGCTTTCTTAGAACTTGCATTAAATGAAATACAAGTTTTTTAATTACTTTTTCTAAAAAAGAAACATTTCTGTATTGTCCCTGCTATTAAACTTCTCAATTAATCTGTAGAATCACTAACTAAGCAGTTAATTAAGTTCTAGTGCAAAAGCAATAGAAGCAGATTTCTCAGATCTTTTTTTCCCTACAAACATCCAAAGTGCACAAAGTACATGCACAGTAGAGTCTTGATGCCTCTGAGTATCGGTTGCTGGAAAACAAGTGTGGGGAGGAGTTGGTCCTGTCCTGTCCTGCCCTGTCCTGCTTGATGGCTTTCTGGAGGCCTCTGCTTGGCCACTGTGGCTTTCTGGAGGCCTCTGCTTGGCCACTGTGGCTTTCTGGAGGCCTCTGCTTGGCCACTGTGGGAAGCACGCCTGGATCAGCCTCCCCGGTGGGGAACCCCCAGATGTGCTGGCCTGCAGCTCCCAGCATTCCCAGCTAGTTGGAGTTACAACCCAACACATTGGGGGCTGCCAAATTGGAGATGGTTCAGTTAGATGGACCATTGATCTGAGCCAACAAGGGTTGTTCTTAGGTTCTGCTCCAGAGATGTTTTATTTGATATCTGTCTCTCTGCCCAAAATGGTGTTCAAAGTGGGAAACACAAGAATAAAACAGATTAAATATTATATTCATTAACTGAGGCTCCAGAGATTGGAGGTCTAGTCCCCACTCAGCCATGATAGTCACTGGGTGACTTTTGGCCAATCACTCACTCTAAGCATAGCCTACCTCACAGGATTGTTATGAAGATAAAATGGAGAGGAGGAAGCCCCTCTAAGCCACCTTGGGTTCCTTGCAAGAGGAAAAAAGGCCAGCTAGAAATGTAATAATAAATCAATTAAAAACATAGCATACAAGCAAATTTAAAAGGCAATCAAAGTAATAACTGTACCCAGCTAATTCAAACCACCAGGAGCAACAGCTTCCATATCAAAGACCGGCTTGAATGCAAATGTATTTGCCTGCCAGTGTAAAGACAGCAGAGAGGGGACCAACAGAGAATGGAGAATGGCCATTCCTCACAGGGATTTTGAACACCTGGGAATGGCCAGAGAAGGCCCTTTCTCATGTCCCCATCAGTGCTTTTCTGATGGTGGCAACACCAAGAGAAGGGCCTTCTCTGAAGAGCTGAAGTCCCACACTGGCTTATATGGGGGAAGGTGGTCCTTCAGTCAGGCTGGCCCGCAAACCATTCAGGGCTTTAAAATTACAAGTGGGACTTCACATTAGAACATAATCTGCACTTTCAGTTGTGCCTGAACACAGACGGGTAGCCAGTGAAACTGTTAGATCAAGGGAGTTCTTGGCAAAAAGATGTTCTTGTTTTTCCTCCACATGCTTTCCATGAAGGCCTTGCTGCCTGTGTTACTTGGTACCTCTTAATCAGCATGTTCTCGGATAAGTGCCTAATCCTACAGAAAGTGTCCTTACCTAGCAATATTTGTACATGTTTGAATATTGGGCAGTTGAGACAATTCAGTTCACGTTAGCAGAAGTAATACAATGTCTTCTTTTTGCCTGCGGTTCCCCACAGAGTTAAGTAAGTACGAGACCCTTGAAATCGATGGGATGATGAACATTTAACTCAGTGAAGGATGATAGTCTTGGAATTTTAAGCACTGTGGGCACCAGGTGAATGTCAGACTCTGCATCTGTCATGTCACCCAAGAGTTTCAGGGGTATTTTCTGCACATAAATGTTTTGATCTGATTCTGTAACAAACTTTCTCCTCCTTCTGTTTAGAATAGTTGCAGAAACCTCCACCGGATGTTTGCTGGCAGGATCGTCACTTGGTAAAAGAGGTGAAAATACGGCACTGGAGTATTTCTCTAAGCTGCATAGCCTTCCATGAAAAGCCGATTTGTTGCTCAGACAAACTTTATAGTACCTTCTTTTTTATGATCCATGCTAAAGACAAATAAGGTTTAAGGCCAAGAAAATTAGCCACTTTGAGGTTTGTGCCTTGGCATTCTGTGTCTGGTTCACAGAACTGCATTCCCCAGGGATAACATGCACTTACCGCGTGATGTGTTATGTGAAATGGCCATTGTAGATTGCACCCACCTTGTGATGCGGCATAGCCTGCCTCAAGCTGGTGTTCTGCAGGGTTTGAGTCAACAACTTCTAGTATTACTGGGAGAGGCAGGAGTCAAACTCTAAAACGGGGGTGTCCAACCTTGTGGCTTCTCTGGGCCACAATGGAAGAAAAAGAATTGTCTTGGGCTACACATTAAATACACAAACACTAACAAAAGCTGATGAGCAAAAATGATGCATAATTTTTATGATATCTGCCACCACCATGCGTACAAATAGCGAGAGCATATGTACATTTATTTTATGTGGCATTGCAACACGATGTTGTTGTCTACGAAGTTCATGCTAGAGAACTGCACAATTGAGTTACCAAAAAGAAAATTGCAAAAAAATCTCAATGTTTTAAGTAAGTTTACAATTTTATGTTGGGCTGCATTCATAGCCATCCTGGGCCACATGTTTTAGAGTCTCAAACATCTGGAGGGTACCAGATTGGGGCCGGCTGCTTTTCTTCTCCCCAAATGAGCAAGACCAGCTCAGCGAAACTAGTGCATATGTAGCTGAGGGCAAGGCAAGGTGGCATCAGTCCTGCCTCTGGGGCCCACTCAACAATTAAGCATTCCTTTCTGCAGAGCACATTCAGCCCCCTGACATCAAAGTCAGGGAAGCACTGCCCTAACAGGATTTTCAGCACAAGGTTGCAATCCTCTGTTCCTGTTATTATAGAAATGGTCCTGCTCTGGAGCACTGGCTAAGCCCTCCCCCCTCCGCTTTCCACCACAGGTAAAAATGCTGACAAGGTTGGAATAGAAGCAGCAGAGATGCTGCTTGGAAATCTTCGGCACGGAGGAGCTGTGGATGATTTCTTGCAAGACCAGGTAAGAACTGGATATAGAAATGATCTCATGAAGTGAACACAGTTTGATGTAGAAAATCCAGACACTTACCCAATGCAGAAAGCTGGGATGTCAAAATATTAACTTATCCCTGTATGGAAAGGAATTTGCAGATAATAGTGATCTAGTATCTATCATCTGCACTGGTTCCCTCTTGTTTTATAGGCACAATTCAACACAAGGGTTTATATCTGTGGGCAGAGTTTGCATATTCAGTGTGAGGAGAAATCGCATTCTGCATCAAGTAAAGCTGAATGATGTGACTTGTCTATGCTATTCAGATAGATTTGTATATTTTAAATGTTGCATGAGTTCCCTTGTCTTGCTATGTACATTGCCCACAGAGCAATGCTGGGCCTATTTACTTGGGAGCAAGTCCCATGGAATTCAGTGGGATTTATTCCCAGGTATTTTTATATATGATCTGCAAGCCACCAATAATTTTGTTAAGCCACAGATCTGGCTCTTGAAATTTTCCTGGGCATTTCATAAAAGCACATGCACATACATTTTCTAGTAGTTTTTACAGCAAAAGGCCTGGAAACTTGCCTTTCTTAAAAGGAAAAAGGCTGATATTTTCAAGAGGCTCAGTTCTTTTAATGCAAGGTGCCTTGCAAACAACATAGGTAAAGGAGTGCTTCCTCCCCGATATTGCATCACACTGTGTAAAATCTGCTGAAAGTGCTCCATTTATCGACTGTATTTTGCCAGTAAAAGTAGGTAGAGTAGCACCCTTCCTGCTTGCCCCAGAGCTAAAGCACTTCTGCTTCTCTGGAATCTCCCCTGCCAGCTGCTTAAGGATCCTGGTTCAAACTGGCACAATGTTGAGGTTTTAGTGTGTTTTATAGTGCAATGCTAAGCGTATTTGCAACATAGGTACCTCCAAAGTTAACTGAAACTCAGCTCCCTGGTTTACCGCATCCCCTATTGATCAGTCTTGAAATATAACAACTCTTTCGTGTCTGCTTGCTTATTTTGATCAGCCCTGTGCCTTCAGGATGGGAATATGCTATAAATGCAAATGAATAAATGCAGCTGGAAAGCAATCCTAGGGGATGTATGACTAAGTCAGATGTTCACAGAATCCTGGCTTGAGTTGATTTTTTTAAAACTGTGATAGTAGTAACTCCTCGTGGTTTTGTTTCTCCTCAAGTTGATCATTTTCATGGCTTTAGCAAACGGGATCTCTAGAGTAAGGACTGGGCCCATTACTCTTCATACAGAAACAGCTATACATTTTGCAGAACAACTGACAAAGGTGAGTAAGTAGTTTCTTTTCAAGATTAGCCAATTGATCTTTAAAGCCATGCCTTTTTAAGGTTAGTTCTTAGGCTCATGGCTTATCGGTAGTTACATCAGGGCTGGTACGAGTTATTTTGCTGCCTGTGACAAAGCACAAAATTGCACTGCTTCTTCATTCCATGGAAAACCAAACTGGCAGCATTTCAGCATTAATGAAGGTCCATGTTCCCCACTGTGCCTGCATCTTGCAACTTGGCTCTGTTTACAGGCATTATATAGCATGGTTGTTGAAATTCTTTCAACCTGAGGACCAAGCGCCATTTTGGAGACGTTTTCAGGGGCTACATTGTGGTGGAGGATGGGTCCAAAGGAAAAGTGGTGGAGCCCAAAATATCAACACTTAATGTAATGTAAAGCTGCACTTTGTAGTGAGCCTTAAGAGAAAACACCATGAAATGATCAGTGGTCAGGGAAAAGAAGGGTGTAGGCTGTGGAGAAGGCCAGAAGGCCAAATCTGGGGCCTCAGGTGGACCAGATAAAAACCTGGCCTTAGTAAAGGCTGGTTACAGGTTTTTTATAGTCACTTATGTCAGTGGTATAAGCAGATAGTATAAGCAGAGCAGCCTTTGTGTTTGCAGTTTTTAAATTCTTTTCAGGTGATTGTGCATCACCATGGAATCTAACTGGAAATATGGCAGGGTTTTTCCCCCAAAATAAAGAATTAGTGTATTTTTATGACACTTCTGAATTAATTTTGCTTGCAGGCAAAATTTACAGTGACAAAATCAGAAGATGGTTCCTCCAAGGATGCCTACGTGATTGAGTGCCAAGGGATTGGGCTGCAAAACACCAACTTGTAGCTTCTGCTGTTGTGGGAGGCATTTGCATTGTTTGTTTGAATATTACCTCCATCATGAACTGCACTGCATTTCATGGACATGTTTGGAAAAAGATAGCACGATTACTGATTGGTTTGCATTGATTCCAGTGAAGGGTGACCGTTCTAAATTGTGTGGCAAATAGGATGCTCCATTTGTCTTCAGTGATGCAACACACTTGGGCAGCTGTCCAGTTCAAATACAGCAGGGCAGGACAACTATCAGTACGGCCTTTAAAAAATGACTTCACATAATTCAGTCATTCTCTTGTTCCTTTTTGGGGGCCAGTGACCTAAGAAGCTACAACATAGTATGCACAAACATGCATTAGTCAGCCCCTGCCACCTATTTCTTTCTGTAATCATTTGTTGCACATAATTTCAGACAAAACCAATAAAGCAATCTCTGCAAACAAAGCTGTTTACTAGTTCTTATTTGTTAAAAGTGCAGAGGCGTAATGAACACTGCAGTTCTCTTCCGATCCTTTTGTATCTAAACATAAAGCAGGAATAGTTTTTCACTCTTTTTGGCCTCATTCTTCCAACATTTGTCACTCCTTTCAAAAACTAAAATATCAAGGAAACCAGAATATACATGGTAACAGTGGCTCCATGTGACCCACTAAACTTGGAGGGTTATGGGCATCCTTTCAAGGGTGGAAGGACTGCAAAGGTAAAGATCACCATCATGCTTCATCCAACCTTCAGAATTCTTAGATTTCAGCCATCAGGTCTTTTGCCCATGCATTGTATCACTTCGGAACCTCACTTCTCCTCCCTGCCCCCAGAACAGCCAGCACTGGTCCCAAGGTTGGTTGTGCAGCCTTGAACTTCAGGTGGTGCGATGCTTTCCCCACCAGGTGTCCCGGCACAGAAAGGGCGCTCCAGATTTGGAGTCCCAGCTCCAACCTCAGGGCACACTTCCAAGGTCAGAGATGGGACTCTGACTTTTCCCATAGCCAGCCAGCCAGCCAGTGTCTAGCGGTCATAGGACTGTGCTCTTAAGTAATCCTGTTCCCACAGCAGCAAACCCTCATCTCCCCTTCAAGTCAAAAATATGTTCATTTTGGTGATGTTCATCTATTTAAAAGTCTTGGAGAGGGAACCAGACTCTTGGAAGAGCACCATAACAGTAACTTGCTAGAAGAGCATCTGGAAGAAAACGGGTGACTTGTGTGAAAATAACAAGAATGGCGAGAGTTAGTTAGCATTCCGCTGCTGATCACAGCCTCTGGTGCTATTTTGTTTGAAACAAAAGGACTGCTGGTTTGCCTCAACTGCAAAACGAATTCATGTGGACCCCCAGTCACAACATGGCCTGACTGGGGACTATGGGAGATGTTGTTCAACACAGTTGTGGAACACCAACTGGAGAAGGGCCTTAGTTGAATGTAGAAAAAATATTCTGTTGGTGGTGAGATGCAGTCAAGCTGGGATATGAGAGGCCGACTAAGGTAAAATCCAAGGATTACACCTTCCGGGAATTACCCTGCCTGTAGCAATGTAAACTGATTTTCACACCCGTGCACTTACAGCTTCTGGATATTTGCCCTGACTTTTGGCCATAATCTCTTCCAACTGTGAGAGAGCCTACCCTGTTCTGGTTTTCACTTTAATCAAAAGAAATTGCTGTTCAGATGAATTTCTAATATTAAGAATTGCCCATTGAGGGCAGCAGATAACTACATAACGTGTTTGAAATGTCTGGTGCTGAGCGTAATCGTACTGGAGGGGTCCTGCAAAACACATTCACAGATCTTTGCCTCAAATTTGTAGTGGTTGCTTCTAATGTATTGCTATATGATCACGGGAAGTCTCACCAAGTTGAAGTATTTGCCTTCAGAGAAAAAGCCATGATCCACCACTGTGGTTCAGTGAATGGAGGACTGATGCACAATTAATCCCAACTCTGTTACTGATACAGGGAGCAACACTGGGTGCCTGTCTCTCTTCCTCTCCCTTCTAGTTCATAAGTTTGTTGTGAGAATTGCGCAAACTGAGCTTCACAAAAGTGGGATGAGATCAAAGGTCCATCCAATCCCAATGTTCAGTTCACAGAGTGGCCAAAGAACTGCCCAAGAGAAACCCACAAGTTGGACATGAGGACAACAGCACCCTTCTCCCTGCAACTGGTGTATATAAGGCATACAGGTGCTAATACTGGAGGTAGCCTATAGCCATATGGACTAGTAGCAATAATCTCCATGGATCTGTCTGATCCCCTTTTAAAGCCACCCAGATTGGTGGCCATTACTACATCTTGCAGACTTTAATTCGACAGCTCAGCAATATGTTGGGTAAGTATTTATTTGTCCCAAGTCTCCCATGAATCAGTTTTACTAAGCATCAGTTCTGTCATGAGCCCCATCCATTTTCTCCACCCCATGCATATTCCTCTACACTAAATTTCTCTCCCTTTCTCTTAGGTAAACATTCCCAGATGTTTCAATCTTTCCTCCTAAGGGAGTAGTTCCAGACCCTTCATGATGCCAGTTGCCCTTTTCTGCATTTTTTCCAAGTCAACAATATTCTTTTTGAGGTGCGGTGATGAGAAATGTACACAGACTTCTAAGTGCATTCACACCATGGATTTCTACACAGGCACTATAATGCAAGTTTTATTTCCAATTCCTTTCCTACTTATACCAAACATGGGCTTCGTCTTTTTCACAGCAATCATTCACAGAGTTGATGTTTCTATCGAGCTGATCACCACAACCCCAAAATGTGTGTGTGTTTTGTTTTTTTTTGGGGGGGGGGCAGCCACTGCTAGATCAGATCCCGTCAGCTTCTAGGTGAAAGTGGAATTTTTTGCCCCAAGTGCATTACTTTACCCTTGTTTACATTTGTCCTTTTGATGCCCGTTCTTCGTGGAGAGCTCATTTTGGAGCTCTGTGCAATTCCTGTTTGTTTTAACCACCCAAAATAATTTTGGGTCATTGGCAATCTTGTCCACCTCATTCTTCATTCCCATTTCCAGATCATTTATGCACAAGCTGAAAAGTATTGATCCCACAATACAGATCCATGAGAGACTCCACATTCCTCCATTGGGAGAATTATCATTTATTCCTACTCTCTGTTTCCTGCTTGCTATTCTTTACTCAGTTATTGATCCGTAAAAAAACCCTCCTCTCCTATTCCATGTCTGCTCTGGAGTCTTTGGTGATGGAGTTTGTCAACTGCATTTTGAAAGTCCAGGTAAACAATGTATTGTAGATTTCCCTTGTCCCCATCTTTATTGATGCTTTCAAGAACAATGTTTTGCAGAAATCATGTTGATTTATTTTCAGCAGCATTTGCCCTTCTAAATTCTTATTATGCTTTCAACCAATTTGTACAGAACACACATTAAAGCTAACTAACCTGTTAGGGAAAAGTTAGGGTTAGGGTTGGGGTTTCCTGGTTAGGAAAATGGTCCCCGGCTCCTCTTTTAAATATTGGCATTACATGTAATTTAATTGGCCATTCTCCAGCCCCCTGCTAAAGAGACTTATTGTAGAGACATGTTATATATTTTTGTTAGAAGATCAGAAATTTTACATCTCAGTTCTTTAACATCTCTAGGATGGGCATCAACTGGGCCCAGTGAGTGATTAACTTTCAATTTGTCAGTGAGGCTGAAAACTTCATCTTTTGTTACTGCTTTTTGCCTCAGTTCCTCAGACTCTGCTCCTGAACACACAACTCCAGACACAACTCCACCTACTTCTGCAGTGAAGACGCAAAAAAATCAATTCAAATTCTCTGCAATCTCCTCTTTAATGCTCCTTTAACTCTGTTGTCATGCAGTCCTCCAACTTCCTTGCTAGCTGGCTTCCTCCTCCTGATTTATTTAATATTTTTTGTTACTGACTTGGATGTTATTAGTAGCATGGTCCTCAGACTGTTTCTTAGCGTTTCGTGTTGGAGGCTTGCATTTCCTTTGTGCCAGCTTGTTCCTTTTTGTTTTCCTCATCTGGCCAAGGCTTACATTTTCTGAAAGAAACCTTATGAACTCTAAGAGCTTCCCTAAGTCTGCCCAGTAACTTTGCTAGTGACCCCTTGAAATTGATTCTAGTTTTCCTGGCCTAGCATACACCCCAGCTGAGCTTTGGTTGTTGTGGTTTTGAGTATCCTCCAAACATTCTGACTCACTTTAATCGCCTTTTAACTTTCCTTTTCACCAGTTTCCTCCCCTCTGGTTGGTTCCATGATCAACCATTCTAGGGCACAGTTGTTTAAAGCAATGCAACATGCGTTGATCTAGTCAGTGTTCATTTAAACTGAAAACACCTATTATGAATGGCAAAAACTACAGAAGCAGAACTATATCCACTAAACATAGTCACTTTACTATGTCTACTAAACTATGTTTCATAAATCCCCATAAAAGCCAAGAATTAGACCTCCTGGATTCAAGACCTTATTATTTAATTGTTTAATATCTTTAATATAGTAATTAATTTCATTGTTCTGGGAGGTGAAATCAAACTATCACAGTTTCTCTGATCCCCTACTTTCACAAGAGGTGCTTGCAATTCTTTTTGGTTATTCTAAAGATGCGCCAAGAGGTGGCATATCAAAAGCTTGATTGTGGAGAGACTGCAATGCTGCAATGCACACTCACACACCGATCCCTCAGGAATGCTTCCAGTTAAAGAGTTCAGCCAGCTTGAAGCAAGTACCTTGGAAGCTCATTGTTCCTTGTTGCATCACTTCCAGAAAAGGTCTTGGACAATAGTTAAATTGGGCTGTGGGTGGCTCCATAGCCAACCACAGGGTGAATGGTTATTTCACTTTTCCTGGAAGAATGCTTCTTGAACTCCGTGCCAAGAATTCAGGAGAAGATTGCACAAGCAGGATCAGTTCCTGCTGCCAATTTCTTTTTAATACATGCTGGTTGTACAAAAAATGAAGGCACTGTTATTAGCATTCATATTTACATGCCTCCTTAGAACATAGAAACATAGAGTCAGAAGGGGCTTCCCAGGCCATCTAGTCTGACCCCCAGCTCCAGCCGGCTCCACTCATGCCATGCCTACCATGTGCACGTCCAGGCTATCTTTGAACACCCTCACCAATGGGGCTTCAACCACCTCCCCTGGAAGCCCATTCCATACCCTCGGGGTCCTAAATGTCAGGAAGTGCTTCCTGGCATCCAAACTGAACCCTGGTTCCCTGAGCTTTGCTCTGTTGGAGCGCGTCCTGCCCTCCTATGCAGGGGAGAACAGGTCTCTGCCCATCTCCATGTGACATCCCCTCACATACCTGTATGTCGCCAACAGATCCCCTCTGAGTCTCCTCCAGGCTGAAGAGACCCCATTCCCTTAGCCTCGCCTCATACCCCATCCCCTGCAAACCAGCCACCAACCTTGTGGCCCTACGCTGCACTGACTCTAACCTGGCTATATCCTTCCTGTAATGAGGGGCCCAAA